CAATTGCATTTGTGGGCTCGCAACCTCCACGTAGAGAGTTCGATTTCTGGAAAGCACACTTTGTGGAAGGCAGTGATGAAAACTCTTTTGGGGTCAGGAGTAAAAGCAATGCCGGAACCTAGGAGCCAATAAGGGCATAACCCGCAATTAACCTTCTCGAGTCATTGAGGGTCGGTGGCTAGAGGTCCAAGATATAATCTGGCTAAATTGGGATATTTGGGTATTAAAAAAATATATATATATCCATCGCTGCAGCCCCCACCTCCAACAATAGTGTACCACACATCAATTGCATCCACTAGTGTTGCACCACTATGCAGATTCGCACAACCACAAACACAATGTCGTATCATAGCCTAACATCGTACCACCACTGCATGCGTATATAAACACCGCATCATCTCCACCACACCACCGTGTAGATCCGCACCACCACCACTATGCAATTTTGTCTGTCATACCACCACCACCACATAGATCTATACATAAATGTAGTCACCAACGTAATCGGTCCCATTGTCAAGAATCTTGAACATGTCACAAAGTTGGTAAAATTAAGCAATTGAGTTTCATCCAATTTATTTGTAACTTCTAGGTCCTAAACCTTTTCGATTTCGATGCAAGCAAATCTTCAATAGATGAAACCACAATTTTACTGTCAAAGGAGTTGCATGCCTAGCACAATGGCTCATTTTTGAAAAATAACAACTAATTTCATCAGCTCACTTTCATTTTCTTTGAAACACAGTTGAAATAAAAAGGCGACAATGATATGAAAAACAATAGGATCTTGTAGATGGTGCGAGGTTGGTTTTTTTCTTTTTCTTTTTNATTATTTATATAATTTGCAATATTCAAACATAGAATTAAACTGACGTGATTATTTAACCATCTAGAGATAACAGTTGGTGACTTGTTGCTAATTTGTTATAATATTTTTAATTCCGTATAATATACATATTCAACCCTTTCTAGATATTGTTAGGGTCGACTTGCGTAACTTTCAATACTCATCCGTCATTTAGGGTCATTTAACAGAGTTTTTGAAAAGTTTAAAGTTGTTTATAAGGTTAAGAACCTTCTTTGAACATATTTGAATAATTAGACTAACTTTCTCTAAAATTTCTTTTAGAAAAAGAGAAAGCAAATGATAGATCAAGATATTATTTTCTTAGGCCTTGTTTGGGAGGGATTAAATTTTTCTACAGTAAATTAATTCTCATTTTCAACCACATATTCTTCAATATAATAATATTTTCCATCACATCAATAATTTTTTCTTTTTTTTCAACCACACATTTATCATTATATCACTATTTAAAATCAATTCTTTCCCCCAAAAATCTCTCCCAAACAAGCTCTTATTCTTTGTGGTCAAATATTTACGATTGATCAGATATTGTACATTGTGCAAAATGGACACAACAACCACTTCATTATAAAATTGGTCTTAAGCCATAGTATGACGTCCAAAAATGCAAAATACACAAAATGTACCATTTAAAAATGCATGCTACCAAATGGCCCATATCTTGTCATGTTTCACATATAAAGAACACGCACGACGTTAAATTTCATATAAGTGACATGGAAAAAATGGACAAAACATTAGACTATGACATAATCACGGTGCATGAATTTAGTACATAACACAACATAATTTTTGTATATAAAATGTGCTGATTCAATTTATTTTCTTAATAATTATTATAATGTTTGTGAACTACACAGAATAGTTTGTCGTAGTCAGGAACTCTATTTTGTACGTTTTTATAATCTTATTTTTATTATAATCCCAACTTTCAAGTCCCAAACTTTCAAATTAGATGATTTGCTTTGTTTGTCCCCATTTTTAAAAATTTATTTTTCTTCAATTCATTTTCAATCACACATTTTATGAAACCAATAATTTTTATCAAGTTTCGATCATACATTTCGTCAACTGTTATCAAAATTTACTAAAAATTTTATTTTTAGCAAAATCAAACATGGGCTTTATATGAATGTTTCAAGTTGCTGAAAATTCATTCATCAAAAAAAATTTAAGGCAAGCATTTGAGTTTTTGCTTGGCACGGTTTGTTTGAAGATCATTTTTCTCAAACTCAATTATCAATTAAACATTTTTTCAATGTAATAATTTTTCACGAGAACTTATAAATTTCCTGAACTTTTTAACCGCAAATTCTACAAAAACAAAAAGAAAGAAAGAGGGAAAAAAAAAAGGGGGGAATCACTTTTCATTTCGAAAAATCTCTCACTAACCAACACTTTATTTAAAGCTAACAAAATGGTCCACTTATCAAGTATGTACCAAATTAAGAGCTTGTTTGGTAAGGATTTTTTGGGGAAGAATTGATTTTTGAATAGTGATATGATGGGAAATGCGTGGTTGAAAAAGAAGAAAAAATTATTGATGTGATGGAAACTATTATTTTATTGAAGAATGTGTGGTTGAAAATGAGAATTGATTTACTATAGAAAAATTTAATCCCTCCCAAACAGGACCTAAAAAAGACAAAAAAAATTGAACTTATCCACGTTAGGGGCGGCTGAGGAGTACAAGGAAAATTTGTTTTGGTCGGTCTGATTTAGATTGATGTTTTCGTAATTGAATCATCCTCTGCTCCACCCAAGAGTTTGATGATAAATAGAATTCAAAAAGTTTATGATTGAGCTCTATTTTATAATTTTTTATTATTTATTTTTTCAATAATATATTTTTACAAATAAATTTAAATTTTTTCTTCACTTTTTAACCACACAATTCTTAAGGAATTTAATTTTCACAATATATTTATTTTAAAAAATGCGGCTCAAACAGGTGCTAAAATACAGATGAACTTCGAAGATTATCATACTTGCCCGTTTCCGCAAATGTTAGTTGTATCAAACGGGTTGAGCCATTCCATTAAGGGCCTATTTTGATTCTTTATTTTGTTTGTTTTTTTTCCCATTCCCCCTTTAAAAGGATAAAATAAATTGTTTTCTGATCAAATCTTAAGAGGGAAAAGTTAAATTAGACTGAAGAACGAGTTAAATTAAAAGCCATGTTTAGCAATTATTAAGAATACAATCGGGTTTTTGAGAATAATATTGTACATCACCAATCTAGGTGGCAAGACGTGGGATCTATTGCCACCTAGACCGGTGTTAAGCAACCTTGGTATTACATGATATTACTCAGTTTTTAGTTTCAGATGTAGATTTTAGCAAATAAAATAAAAATTGATGAATTTCGTGAAATGTGGGATTAATTACCTTAAAAAAAATGTAGAATAGGCTACTGACCCCATACTGGACTTGAAATCATTTCAAGTTAGGCAAGATTCTGTAAACTCACCAATCAAACCTTACTAAAATCCATTAATTCTCATTATGAAATAATTGATTTAGAGCACCTTCAAGATTAACCCTTGACGAGAAATGATCTATTTAATCATGACACGTCAGTTCAACAAATCAATTTAAACTTATCCATCAATTAGCCGATGTGTAATGCGATTGTTATGCAACCGTGCTTACTAGATCATTTTTCAACCGTTAATTACTTTGCTAGTTGCATTTCTTGCTCGTGCTTAATAAACCAATATTTTTGTAGAAATTGCTCAAATTTTACAAGATAATTGTCCAATTCTAACGAGCACGACGTGCATAAATCTTCAAGGATTAACTATTTTGTGCCTCGAGCTCAAACGCAAAGCATATGGCAACTTCGACCGACTATCACTATTAAGCACTTTTTTTCAAAAATAATGATAAAAAAACACCCAAGAATCTGGCCTTTTTTTTTTGCAGCAGCATTAAACTGTTAATGGAATAATTGATCCAGGTCAGAAATGTAATTTCATTAAGGGCAACTTGAGCATGTGAGACCATTGTAAATCTCTAGCCAACTCAAAAGTGAAGTGGCATTTTGTCTGTTTTTGCCGACTTTAGCAACGTACCAATCAAGAGATTAGCACACGTATCTAACACCCTTGGAAAAAAATTTCTGCTTACTCAGCTTCCATATAAGAATACTTACCTCGAAAATTCAAATGTGTAAACAGTTCGAGAAGATCATTCTGCATTCATTTCGACTGCTCCATCAGAAATGGCATCGGAAGTTGCTGATATTCCACAAGCCGTAAATGAAAAAGTAAGCGATATCACCTCTTTGATCTTTGCTTCATGATCTATAAAGTACAGATATTACTATCTCTTGCATGTTGGTGATTGTTCACATTAGCCATGCACCGTGTATTGAACATGTATAAACAACCACGGATAACTGGATTCTTGTTTTTGATCAGCCTCTAATGGATATTGATTTTTTTTGTGTGACAATCACAGTTTCTGTGATTTTCATAATAAGATGTCATCTTCAAACTGCTTAGGCGAAGAAAAAATTATACGAAAACATCTACGTACTGTTAAATGATATTATCACATGATCCACTATCTATAGACTACTGTTTTCCATAAACACATACTTTCTCAGATCACAGCATGAAGCTACCAGCTTCCTGTTGGAAAGTGGTGCTGTTTCGGCATAATTTTGAGTGGAGTCGGTTTCATATTTTTGGAGGATCAAAGAAGATTTGTGTTCTCCTTCGTGCGAATTGTTGAGAATTTACTTAACACGCACGACAAAAAATAAAACAAATTTAAATTCTCACCAATGATCTTCTTTGTGTTTAGAAAGAAACTGTGATATAAGTTGTACCTTTTGTAAATTCTGCAAACTCTTAATTAATTCTATTAATTAAATTTGGTCCATGAATTAATTAACCCAATTAATTAATTTAACAATCAACCTAATAAATTAAGTGAAAATTACACAAAATCAGAATTTTAAAGATTCAATTATAAAAATCAGATTGAATGTTTCACTTTTCAAAAATCAGATATTTTATTTTTAAATATTAAATATTAATTGTACAATTTTCATCCAAACCCTAATCAATTTCATCCCAATTTTCTCTCTCCGCCGCCCATTAAACTGCAATGAAGAAGGACGATGCATTTTCACGTGGATAAGCGGAGTGGCGTCGAAGCAGAGCTCACGCTTGTCATAAATGAGCCGACCTCCACCGCGGCTGCCGTGCTGGAGATTTTTGATGTATTGAGGTGTGTATTTAAACTTATTGCCAATCTCTTCCTAAACACACCGCCTTCTCTATCCCACAGCAAGGCTAGATGAATGATTTCTCATTTTGGATAGTGCAGCGATGCTCTCAATCGATTGGATCTGTTGAGGTGGTGATGATGTGTGGTTGTGGTGCTTGTTCTAGTGGAGGTGGTTTTGGTGATGTTTCGTTGTGCTTGGATCTGGTGAGGTTGTGGTGGTGGTGTTTGGGTGACAGTGACTGTGTTGGAGGCGGAGGTTATGATGGCTGTAGTTTTTTTTGGTGACATAAGTGGTGGATCTTGGCGATGGTGATGGTGTTGAGATGTTGGTGGCGATGGGGTCTCTCGAGGTGGCGATGGATCGGTGCGACGACATCGTGGTGTTTTACGCGATGTGTTGTTGTCGCGAGGTGGTGGTTCTGGCGGCGACAGTGGGTGTGGTGCGATAATGGTCGCAAGTGTTGGTTGTGACCACAAATTATTTGGTTGATTGCGACTATTAAATTGGTTAATCTGTGATCAATAAATAATATGTGACATGTGACCAATGAAAAAGATAAATTATGACAAAAAAACGTGTGACCTAAAAAATTGTTAATTTGTGATCGTATCATTTGACAATTGTTCATTAAGTTGTGACTTACAATATTTGTGATTTGCGACGTAGAAACAAATTGTGATGTTTCAATTTTTGATTTGTGAGCGATGAACCAATTGCGACCTATAAATTTTTTGAACTGTGACCGTAAAAAAATTGTGCCATATAAAATTTGTGATTTGCGACCTAGAAATAAATTGTGACGTTTTAATTTTTAATTTGTGAGCGATGAACAAATTGTGACCTATAAAATTTTTGAATTGTGATTATAAAAAAATTGTGCCATATAAAATTTATGATTTGTGACCCATGAATAATATGTGACTTATTAATTTGATAGATTTGTGGCCGATGAATAAATTTGACATATAAATTTTTGATTTGTGAACGATAAACAAATTGTGACCTATAATTTTTTTGAATTGTGACCGTAAAATAATTTGTGATATATGAAAGTTGTGATTTGTAACCAATTATATGAAATTGTGACATTAATATATTTAATTAGTAACATATATGTTTAATTAATTAATTTTTATATAAAATTTAAAAAATTCCGAAATTTGAAATTTTAAACATAATCTCTTAAATTTGAAATTGATAAAACTAAACCTCTTAATTAAGAAATATTTCCATAAATTAATTGTCCAACACTTGTTAATTAATTAATTGGTGAATATCATTCTTTTGGTTCTTTTTTGTGTGTGTGACCCATCAGATTCCCGATCATGATGCTTAATGACGTGAACAATTATTTTGATCTAATCAAAGTTGATAAATTAAAATACCCATTTTAATTCATTACAAATTCACATTCCTCGTCCCAAATTGACTCTAGCAATGTGTCAAGCAATATATGTGACGAAAAATGTCACGTGGTATGACAAAATCGATCTTGTTCGTTTTTCGTGAAATTATAATCCATTCGCCAATATGATCCAATCAATTACGAGATATATGTATGTCAATCTCAATTATCGACCATATATTTCATCCCACTATTAAGTCAATGTAAGTCGAAAACTCCTTTTTGATTTATGAGTACATTGGCCAATGATTTCATTATCAACTTAATTGAATGAAATATAGATCATAATCTTTTACTATCTAACAGTAACGAATCTTTTATTGATCATTTGCAACCTTTATATGATTCTTGATATACCCGAATGATGCAGTCGATGCTTTATTAGCAACTATTGATAGTGTAACATCCAACATCTCTAAAGTATGTCTATCATCATATAAAATACTATGATGACCTCAAACTAAATGACAAATTCTACTACCGAACGTTAGAGTTTAACCACTGACACTTAGAAAGTGACCCATGTGGAATTTTTCCAGCGGATCTCCAATATTTTGTTCTATAACAAAACATTCACGTATTCATTTAAGTGTCACACGTTTAGCTTGTGAGACTAACTACTTACTTCACAAGTAAGAAATGTCACACGTGATGATCTATCCGTAATAACGATATCTGTATCTCGTTGTTACATACGACTATAGACGATTTAAGATTCAATCATATATAATCTGTATCTTACAATCACAACTCCTTGTAATTAACAAATTATCAAGAGTTAAATCTACAGATTCTATTATTTAATTTTTTAGAACATTAATTCAATTAAATAATAGATCTTGCTATAAATATACATCAATTATATATTGAAAATGTTTATACCCAAAATTGATTGGATCTAGGGTATAACACTTACATGAACATCGAAATCATATATTTACTTACTCAAATCGATGTCCGGGTAAATAAGAAATTGAAATTCAAAGTGTACATATTGGAAGTGGTTTAGGTGTTGGAGGGAGAGTAATCGTAACTAATCCCACCTAGGAAAAATGATAAGACACATACTAGTTTATATATGACCATATTTTTGAAGTTGTAATCATTGAATTGTAATTTTTTTTTTAAAATTTTATCCTTGTGTCTAAAATAGTATGTGCATTGAATTTTAACACAGATAGAAACAGAAGATAGAAAGTATTAAGATTTGGGGGTCCATCTTAAAAGGTCAACCTTATTAAGAGGAGTAGCCCAAGATCTTTATTAATTGGTCAGTGTCAACATCTTTATTCGATGTGGGATTNTTAACACGCCCCCGCAAGATGGTGGCTCATTTGAGCAGACCAATCTTGAAATCCACGTGCTCACTTTTTGGAGTCTTATCGGGATCGAATCGCTCGTTGGAGCATAATGGGCTCTGATACCATATTAAGATTTGGGGGTCCATCTTAAAAGGTCAACCTTATTAAGAGGAGTAGCCCAAGATCTTTATTAATTGGTCAGTGTCAACATCTTTATTCGATGTGGGATTATATCCCTTAACAGAAAGCTGGTAAATGAAACTACCAACATAGTTCTCGATAAACTATCGAAAAAGGAGACGACGGATGCTGAGGTTATCCCTTATGAACCTCATGAAATCTTAAACAGTAATTTTGAGAGAGAAAACGTGAAGAACGATAGAGAAGCCAGTGCCGTAGCAGGTGAGGGTGAGAATTTTTTGAATTTATCCTCAATGGCCAAGGTTTTTGTTGAAGAAAATAACAGTTCACCAGATGTATATGAAGTAATCGAAAAGCCAGATCAAACAATTAAAGATGCGTGCAAGATTCAATCCCTCAAAGATGAAAAATTCGATAATCGACAGGAAGAAATTATAACAACTAAAGAGACTTCCTTGGAAGAAATCCAACAGTATGCTGATGAATTATCAAGTAGTTTGGACAAAGTTGCGGTTGCGGATAGAGGCCTCGTACCAGTAGAGGATTCAGCAGATGTTACCTCGGGTCTGAAAGTAGAAGATTCAATTCATGCACCTGATTCAGAAGACGTGAGAATAGACACTAGTATTGGAGAAACCGGTGCAGAAAATTTTGTATCAGGCAGAAATGGAAAAATGGAAGAGAATTTTGATGTTTCACAGGAGAAAAAAGGTCGGGAAACAATTACATTCAGGGAAGACAAAATGGATGCAACCGAAAATGAACGTGAATTTCAGTACCCAAACAACCCTGATACTCATTTCCTTAAAGACGCAGAAGACAGTGCTATCCAGGAAGGCAACAAGGCTACAACAGCACCAGAAGTCTCTAAAGTTGAAGATCATAGCATTCAGACCTCAGAGAAGGTTGAAGCAAACTTACAGAAACAAGTTGATGAGTCACAGATAAAACATGAGGAATGTATACAAAACGAAAGCGGGAAACTGTCTTCAACGGAAACTCCAACGCGAGACGTTGATCATGAAGAAATTGAGGCTGGTGACTTAGGAAAGGCTGAAATATCTGAAGATGAGAGATCTTCAGAAAGTTATTCGCTGAATGAGAAACCTTTAGAATCCTTACATGTAGCTCCTGAGAAGATTAAAACATCTGCTTCATGCCAAGAAGCAGAAATAATAAGCCATTCACTGGAACAGGGACTATGCGCGACTCCTCAAGAAATCCTCAGCGATGAAACGAAGGATAAAACAATTGATGCAGCTGACACCAAGGTGAAAACTCTCGAGTAAAAAATGAAAATGATTATTTGTCTTTCTTTGAAAGTCGTGTGAGATAGTGAATGATGTATTCTTTGTGCAGGATGTTGCAACAATTGAACCAAACAAGGAGCCTGGTGGTTCCATTCCATACTATAGTACCAATGATTCGAAGGTTACTCATCAACTGAAAGAAGGAAAAGAAAATGATGGTCCCTCAATAGATACACAACATAATCATGTCAACAACAGCAATATATGCAGTAAAGGAGGAGGCAACCAGATTAACAGTCTAGACGATCTAGATGATTCTAAGGCATCACATGAAGTGACAGAAGACCAGAGCAAAGAAACAGAAATTCAGGTAAATGACCTTTTTGGTCAGATAATAACTATAACAAGTTTTGTGGGAATTTCTATACACATGTTTATCTGAATCTCTGGTTAAACACTGCAAGTAGTCGTCTACGTGCTTCTGAATCTTTTCCAGTTTTCGACTTCTTACTAGTCATTTGTATGCACTGCTCATGTAGGTGGATGCTGCTCAAAAGATGACCAGCACGTCTGATGATATTGAAACTCAGATGATGGATAAGGAGCGCGATACCACCATTCTATCAGAAGCTACAGTTGATAAACTGATTAAGATTTGCCAAGAGGTAGAAATAGAGCTACTGATGCTGGAAATTCAAATTAATTTAGCTTCTCTCGAGGAGATAATATGCTTGTGTATGTATGCAACTTTTGATCATTCTTCTACACTTTACTAATATATTTCTCTTTAAACAGACAACAGAGCTTGAGGTTACTCATTCCAGTGAGAGCATTGAACGGAAAAAGGATTTGAACATTACTAATCCACTGGAAGAAGGAAAAGACAATGATGGTCCCTCGATAGATGCTCCTGTCAACACCAGTGATGATATATGCAGTAAAGGAGAAAGAGTCAATCAGATTAACAGTCTAAAAGATCCAGATGATTCTGAGGCATCACGTGAAGTAACAGAAGACCAGATCAAAGAAACAGAAACTCAGGTAAATTACATCCTTGGTCAGATAATAACTATAACGAGTTTTTTATGGGAACCTCTACATGTAAGTTTATCCGAATCTTTGGTTAGACGCAATAAGTAGTAATCTAAATGCTTCTGAATCTTTTCCAATTTCCAAATTCTTACTAGTCAATTTGTTGTGGCACTGTTTATATAGGTGAATGATGATCAAAAGATGACCAGTAAGCCTGATGGTACCGAAACACAGATGATGGAAAGGGAGCACGATAACACCACTCTTTTAGAAGCCACAGCTGATGAAACGATTAAGATTGGCCAAGAGATGAATGGCGATCAAAAGATGACCACTAAGCCTGATGATATTGAAACACAGATGATGGACAGGGAACACGAGACCACCATTCAATCAGATGCCACAGCTGATGAACCGACTAAGATTTGCCAAGAGGTAGGAACAGAGCTACTGATGCTGGAAAGTCAAATTAATTTAGCTTCTCTCGAGGAGATAATATGCTGTATATGTAAGCAACTTATGATACTTCTACACTTCACTAATACTTTCTCTTTAAACAGACAACAGAACTTGAGGTTACTTATTCCAGTGAGAACATCAAAGGGAAGAAAGATTTGAACGTTATTCATCCACTGGAAGAAGGAAAAGATAATGATGGTCCCTTAATAGATGCTCCTGTCAACAACAGTAATAATATATGTAGCAAAGAAGGAGGAGATCAGATTAACAGTCTAGAAGATCCAGATGATTCTGAGGCATCACACGAAGTAACAGAAGACCAGATCAAAGAAACAGAAACTCAGGTAAATTACATTGTTGGTGTAAGATAATAACTATAATGGGGTTTATGGGAATCTCTACATATAAGTTCATCTGAATATTTGGTTAGACACCATAAGTTGTTATCTAAATGGTTCTGAAACTCTTCCAAGTTCCAACTTCTTTCCAGTCAATTTGTTGTGGCACTGTTTGTGTAGGTGGATGATGATCAAAAGCAGACCAGTAAGCCCGATGAAACTGAAACACAGATGATTGAAAGTGAGCACGATACCACCAATCAGTCAAAAGCTACAGCTGATGAAACGATTAAGATTGGCCAAGAGATGAATGATGATCAAAAGATGACCAGTAAGTCTGATGATATTGAAACACAGATGATGGACAGGGATCACGATACCACCGTTCAATCAGAAGCTACAGCTGATGAACCTATTAAGATTTGTCAAGAGGTAGAAATAGAGCTAGTGATGCTGGAAAGTCAAATTAATTCTCTCTGAACTTTTGATCCTTCTTCTATACTTTATTAACACAGTTCTCTTTAAGCAGACAACAGAACTTGAGGATTCTCGTTCCAGTGAGAACATCGAAAAGATTATCCAATTGGACGAGAACAGGAATCAGCATGTTTCTGTAGCATCCATTCTGGAAGAAAAAGTTGCAGAAAGGTTTGAAGAAGAGAGGAATAAAATTGAATACCCCAGTAAAGAGGTTAACCATTAGACTATTTTTTCAACTTCTAGGATAATTAAATTTGGATTTCAAGCTCTTAAAGAAAAAAGATCTCTTGGCAAGGTTTCTCAAGCAAGAACCATTCAACGTACAGGTAGAGGACAGCTATCCAGTGGATGATGGATGTGTCGATAATTCAACACAGATCATCAATGCTGATTCTGGAGCAAAGGACAACTTCTCAGTTTTAACAGCTGAAAAAACGGAAACTGGTGTTTCATTTGAACAGGAAAATGAAATGAATACAGGGGTGAGTTTTGAATTAAGTAGAACAAGTGTGGCATTAACATTAGTAGGCATACATTCCTTCTGAATTAAATGCAAATAAATATATTTCCACTCATTCAGGTGCATTGACATTCACATTCATAGATACCTTTCCTAAGAACAAGTCATCTAAACTTATCCCACCCCACCACATACACACTGACAGAGACCAGAAAGAAAAATAAAATAGAAAAGGTGTTCTGTCTTCGTACCATGAAAAGATGGATACATAGGTAAAAAAAAGTAACACCAAGGAATTACTGGGAATCAATGAAATTTTAGACAGAAAAGGGCTAGTTGTTCTTAGAGAAGATATTTATTTTCATAGTTCTCCTAGGCCAAAAGCTATATTACTCACCTGTCAAGTCAATATAAGCATATATGTAGAATCACACGCTTAAAGCGAAATAACATAATCAAAATACAGATTGTGTCCGGCACACCCTATAAGAAGCAAGCATGCCTCTCACTATGCCCAGGCTCATCAGGAGTATCTAAAACTCGTGTCAAAGGTTATTAATTTGGAAAAGGTAAAAGAATACATCAATAGATCATTACTTCATTCCACTTTTACAAACTTGATTAAAACAAATAGAACTAAGAGTCTAAGATGTCTTACCATTGACTTTATCTCCATGGATAGTTTCTATTCATCAAAATGTATTAATAAATGAAGTTCGTCACTGCTAGCTAACTTTAGACTTGAAAAATGAATAGCTATTAGGGGTGTCAACAAGCCGAGCCGAACTTTTTGCTCGGGCTCAGCTTGAGTAAAAATTGTTCGAGCTTTTTTTGGCCCGAATCAAGCCGAGCCCAAAAAATTTAGGCTCAACCCAGGCTTTCGGCTCTGGCCTTAGCGAGCCGGCTCGTTTTTTTTTTAATTTTGTGATAAATCTAATTTTTTTTTAAAGAATTTAAAATTTGTGCAATTTATACGTATTATAAATAATAACTAAATTAATACATTAAAAAAAATTACTGTTAAAATTAAAAGAAACAATTAAAAAAAAAAAAGAAGTGGCTGCATGCAGCTACTTGCAATGCAGGTAGCTGCTAGTCTTTTTTTTTTTATTTAGCTGCCTGCAACAGGTAAGCTTTTTCTTTTTATTATTTTATTTTTAAGTTTTGTAATTTTATTTTTATTTTTTAGGCTCACAGGCCGGCTCTGGCTTGCTCGGACTGAGCCACGAGCATGTCCGACTCAGGCTTTTTCCGGGCTGAGTCACGGGCAGCCATATTGACATCCCTAATAGCTATTATCTAAAAGAAACAAAATGAATATCCGTCTTTCTTTTTTAAAAGTCACATGCAATAGTGAATGATGTTTGCTTTCAGCAGGATGTTGCAACAATTAAGCAAAATGAAGCGACTGGTAGTCCCATTCCATACTGTAGTGCCAATGATTTGAATGTTATTCATCTACTGGAAGAAGGAAAAGATAAGGATGGTCCCTCAATAGATGTTCCTGTCAGCAATAATAGTTGCATTGAAGGAGGAAGGGACCAGATTAATGGTCTAGAAGATCAAGATGATTCTGAGGCATTGCCTGAAGTAACAGAATACTGGGGCAAAGAAACAGAAAGTCAGGTATGGTCGGAGAATAACTATAATAGGTTTTTTGGGAATCTCTACATATAAGTTTATCTGAATCTTTGGTTAGTAACGCAAGTAGTTATCTAAATGCTTCTGAATCTTTTCCACGTTGCAACTTCTTACTAGTCAATTTGTAATGGCACCATTAATGTAGGTGACTGATGAACACAAGATGACCAGTGAGACTGATGATATTGAAACACAGAGGATGGACATGGAGCACAATACCACCGTTCTATCAGAAGCTACAATTGATGAAACAATCAAGATTCTCCAAGAGGTGAATGAAGATCAAAAGATGACCAGTACGCCTGATGATATTGAGATGCAGATGATGGACAAGGAGTACGATTCCACCATTCAATCAGAAGTCACAGCTGATGAAGCGAAGATCTGCCATGAGGTAGTAATCGAGCTACTGATGCTGGAAAGTTAAATTAATTTAGCTTCTCTCAGGGAGATAATATGCATGATAATATAACTTTTGATCCTTCTCTGAACTTCATTAATACTGTTTCACTTAAACAGACAACACAAATTGAGGTTACTCATCCCAGCGAGACCATCGAAAATATTATCCTACTGGATGAGAATAGGAATCAGCGTGCTTCTACAGCATTCATTTTGGAAGAAAAAATTTCAGAAAGCTTTGAAGGAGACAAGACAATAAATGACATCCCCAGTCAACAGGTTAACCAAAAGACCATCTTCTCAACTGTTATCATCTAATTTTAGAGTTCAAGCTTTAAAGAAAATATTACTTTAGAGCAACTTTTCTCAAGCAAGAGATACATTCCTTATATAGGTGGGGGTCAGCTATCAAGGGCATGATGGATGCATAGATAATTCAACACAAATCATCAAAGATTCTGGAGCAAAGGAAAACTTAACAGTTTTATCTGCTGAAGAAATGGAGACGGGGGTTCCATGTGAAGAGGAAAAGAAAATGGAGGGACATGATACAGAGGTGAGTTTGAGTTAAGTTGAACGTTGTTGTATTATCATTTGGAGACTTCTGACATAAATGCAAATATATATATTTCAACTCATCAAGTGCATTACCATTCTCATTCATAGATAACTTTCCTTGTAGTAAATATAAATGTCTTCTTATCCCCACCAGCCCCGCCCTCACACACACAGCCCAAAATGAAAAATGGTGTTCTCTTATTTATCATGAAAATATGGATAAACAGCTATAAAAACAGAATGCCTAGGAACTGCAATGAATCTAAGAAAAATTAAACAGAAAAGGGTTATTTGTTCTTAGAAAATACACTGTCACTATTAAAATTTTGAAGTTCTACTCAGCTAAAAGTTCTGCTAATCACCAGTGAGTCAAATGAATATATGCATAGATGTAGTAGAGTTTGATTAAAGAGGACTAGCAAAATCAAAATACAGATTATCTATGGCACGCACCCTTTTCCTACAAGTAAAAAGAATGCCTCACTATGCTCTGACTCATCAAGAATATCCCTATTGTAATTTGGCATGCTTAAAGGTAAAAATAATACCCAATAGATTATTACTTCATTCCATTTTTCAAATTTGATCAAAACGAATGCAGAACTAAGAATGTCTTACCATTGAGTTTATCTCCGTGTATGGATGCTTTTCATAAAAAGATCTTTGATCGAAGACTTCAAAGCCAGGACACTGACCAACATATAATGATGGAAACTGATGGCTTCAAGGACAACTTCACAGCAGAAGAAAACAGTGCTAAAGAGAGCTTTCAGGAAGATGAGGTGAACTTGAAGTCACTTATCATTCATTCTAGTACATACGCTTTTCTTGTCTTCTTGTTTACTTCTGCATCTCAACTTATATAGGGAAGCAAAGAAAGTAAAAGTGTCGAAGCAGAACTGAGCACGAGGGAAGTACTCGATGTAGTCGCAGCTCCATCTTCAGCAATCGAAGAAAATAAATTAGATGAAACCCTGAAAATCAATGAAAGGAATGTGACTATATCAGAACAAGAGGTCAGAAGCCATAAAGTTTTAATTTGGTTTGAAATTGTAACTTTGACCTCCAAGATTTAGTTGTCAACTTCATTTTTCACATGCAACAGATAAAAAACACAGAGAAAGAAGGCACGGGAGAGAATTTTGAGGGCACACATTTCTCAGTGGACAATAAAGTCAAAACCCTGGAGCATGAGGAAGCATCAAATACCACCTCTACCATTCAGAGTTCAATTCAATCAGAGGAAGAAGATATGTCGTCAAAAGATTGCCTAGATTTTACCGAAAACTTGTCCACTGTGTCTGGGCTATCTGAGAGTGGTAGAGAAGACATCATAGATGCAACAGAATTGGAAGTTATAGTAGGAACAGAAGATCCCAACTTAAAAGAATTTGAATTACTAGACAAAGTACAGCTTGACGAAAATGATCTGGCTTCTGAAGAACTGGGAGTGGCAACCAGTAAACCAGATAAGAAAGAGGCAGAAAGCATAGATATCGAATCTGAATGTGAAAGAATCTCCAACTTGGGCGAAAACAGAGACGTGTATGTTTCTATGATGGGGGGAAATGAAGCTAAGGAATCTGTCACTGGAGAAATAACAAAATATGAAGTTGAGAATGAAACTCAGGCTGCATTATTAAAGTATAATGATCAGGTTGCTGTGGCTGGTAATGTTTCACAAAATACATTTAATCTGAACCTTGAGGAATCCTACAATCCTTCATATGAAGAACAAAATCTTTTGCCAGTCTCATGCAATGAGACAAAACATGACAATTCTGGAAGTATTGAGGGTTCAAGTAGCATCCCAGATTCTTCTTCAGCTCTGAAGACCGCTGAAAATATAGACATAGAAAAGGCTGTTGTAGGACAAGAAGACACAGCCAGAAATGCTGATGACTTCTTAAAGGAAAATCTTGATACTAAGAAAACAGCATTGGAATTAAACATGGAACATGGAAACAGAATGGAAGACTTGGACATCAACAGTCAGAACAGCATGACAGAAAAGGTAACAAGAGCATAATCATTTGGATTGCATCTATATTTAGGTTATTGCAATAAATTGATTAGGAATAATAGATATGTCATAGAGGCATACTTATAATACAGTGTCCAAGTACCAAAGAAACAGATACTAAATATGAGATATCACATCACTTTGAGGGTTATCTAGATCATGTTTGGCTAAGCTTTTTAGGAAAAAAGTAACTATTTCCAAATATATTTGGATCTTACATTTTTTTTTCTTATGAGATGCAGAATCTAGAATCAGTTGAGCCTAGCAAAGAACCCCCTCCTACATCGGAACTAGTGATTGAGTTCCAAGATAACAAAAGCAACTCTGAAAATACTATCACTGCAGTCGTAGAAGATGGCATCAAGGCTACGGAGGAAATGAATGAGCCGATTGGAGAAGTACTTATATCCCAACACTCTCTGGATGGTACAGTAGATACGAATGATGATGGAAGGGAACACGGAGAAGATGGAGAGCAGCATATTGACTCGATACAGGTACAAAATCTAGACGTGTTTACGTACTTAATTTTACTATCTCCCCATTTTCAGCATTTCAAAAACCAACCAATTGTCATGCTTCAGGAATTTGAGAAAGCTAATGAATGTGACAAAACCACTGAACACGAAGAAAAGGTAATTGAGCAAGATTTTGAAAGCAGCCAAAGAGAAGCAAGTTGTGAAAAGAAAATCCAATTAGGGGCTGATGACACAATTAATAGAACACCAGATTGTGACCAAATCATAACAGGTGGCAGTTTGTCCGAAGAGGTCAGTCGAAATACAAGCCCTGGATTTCATCATCATGCTAAATTATTGCTACCCATTGAGAAGAGAGAAACAAAGCATTCTCATCAAACAATATTTATCTTTTAAAGATTGTACAGGTGCAGCGAGAGAATGAGAACACTGATAGTGAAGAGAAAATTAAAGATAAAATTGAGGAAGATGGTTGCCCTGAGGATGTTCAAATGATAGCTGTGGCTTATGTAGCAATGCACGAGGTGAGTTCAAAACTGATGTTAAGCAGACCTTTTTGTGTTTCTGACAGCCATATGCACTTGTCTATTCTTCTCTTTATGATATTTAATTTGCAAATATTCTATCAAACAGAAGAAGAGCCTAGACTTGAGCTCTATAAAGAATCTTCTTTCAGACAATGGTAAAGAAAAAATTAGTCGAGACATTGCTGAAGGTCTGAATCAGAATCAAGAAAAATCATCTGTCACAGAAGTGCCAGAAGATGAGAAACTTGCAAATATTACCAGCTTGGCATCCATAGCAAGAAAGGAGAATTGTGATTACAAAGTTGTTCAGGAGCCAACTAGTTTCCACGACGAGACTGATACTGAGGACGTGCAAGTGCTAGATGACTCCATCGCATTTTCATTGAAGGAAAATCCAGTACAATTAGATCCAGAAGAAAGCACAGAACTCCTGGTTCCATGTGGAGAAAAAGTGAAACCAGCGCAACAGGACCCAATAACTGTACTGGAGGAAATTGAAGAACAATCACGAAATGCTTGTGAGTCTGTCTATGAAGAAAAAATGTCTTTAGACATTGCCGAAGATCTCAATTTGGAGCAAGAAGAATTGCCTGTTACAATAGTGTCAAAAGATGAGAAACTTGCAAATACGACCAGCTTGGCATCCGTAGCAACAGAGGAAAATAGTGATCCCAAACTTGTTCACGAGCAAAGTAGTTTCCATGACAAGATTGATACTGAGGTCGTGAAAGTGCTAGATGACTCCATCAAATTTTCATTGAAGGATAATCCAGTACCAGTATATCCAGAAGAAAGCACAAAACTCCAGGTTCCACTTGGAGGAAAGGTGGAATCGATGCAACAGGACGCGATAACTGTTCTGGAGGAGTTTGAAGAACAACCACGAAATATTTCTGTGGCTGCCCCTAAAGAAAATATGACTCTAGACATTGACGAAGATTTCAATCGGGAGCAAGAAGAATTATCTGTTACAAAAGTGTTAGAAGATGAGACACTCGCAAACATTACCAGCTTGGCATCTGTAGCAACAGAGGAGAATAGTGATCACAAAATTGTTCCTGAGCCAAGTAGTTTCCGTGACAAGAATGATGCTGAGGATGTGCAAGAACTAGATGATGGCATCACAATTTCATCAAAGAATAATATAGTACAAGTAGATCCAGAAGAAAGCACAGAACTCCAAGTTCCACATGGAGAAAAAGTGGAATCAATGCAACAGGACCCAGTAACTGTTCTGGTGGAAATTGAAGAAGAACAACCACGAAATACTTCTGAGGCTGTCTCTGAAGAAAAAATGACTCTAGACATTAATGAAAATCTCAATCAGGAGCAAGAAGAATTATCTGTTACTAAAGTGTTAGAAGATGAGAAACTCGCAAAAATTACCAGCTTGGCATCTGTAACAATAGAGGAGAATAGTGATCACAAAATTGTTCCCAAGATAAGTAGTTTCCATGACAAGTCTGATGCTGAGGATGTGCAAGTGCTAGACGATGCAGTCACAATTTCATCAAAGGAGAATATAGTACAAGTAGATCAAGAAGAAAGCACAGAACTACAGGTTCCCCGTGGAGAAAAAGTGGAATCAATGCAACAGGACCCAATAACTGTTCTGGAGGGAATTGAAGAACAACCACGAAGTACTGCTGAGGCTGTCTCAAAAGAAAATATTACTCCAGACATTGCCGAAGATCTCGATCAGGAGCAAGAAGAATCATCTGTCACAGAAGTGCCAGAAGATACGAAACTTGCAAACATGACCAGATTGGCATCTGTAGCAACAGAGAAGAATAGTGATTGCAAAATTGTTAACGAGTCAAGTTGTTTCCAAGACAGGACTGATACTGAGGATTTGCAAGTGCTAGATGACTCCATCACATTTTCAACGGAGAGTCTAGTACAAGTAGATCCAAGAGAAAGCACAGAACTCCAGGTTCCATGTCAAGAAAAAGTGGAAGCAATGCGACAGGACCCAATAAGTGTTCCGGAGGAAATAGAAGAACAACAACCAATAAATGCTTTTGAGGCCATTTCAGAAGCAAAAGGAGTTATTTGTGAAGGAGCAAAGAGAACTACTCACAGTTGCGAAGAGATAACGGGTAGTTCCAGTTTAGTGGAATTAGATGAAATCTCACCATACAACTCTCTTCAGGAATCTAGAAAAGAGACACTGCAGATGGGTGAAGATAAAGGAACTGAAAAACAACAGGACAATCTTCATACTTTAGCACACACCAAAGAGTTGCCCGTGGAAATTACACAAAAGGATGCTCAATTGTATGTTGCAAGAGCAGATGGTTCTGAAGACACTGGAGTAATGGAGAAATTAGTGGCAGCCTCTCTACCGGCCTCGGTTGAGAACATGGTAGAAGAAGCAGAATTTGCTAAGAATTCAATCAGCAACAAGAATACTAAGCAGCTGAAACAGGAAGATACATCAGAAACATTCCTGACTGATGTAAAAAATATGAGACCTGCAGAAGAGCCAGAGGAGGCAAAATGCGGCCAAGAGAAAATGACTGTTGGTGAAACAATAGAATCAAGAAAGGAGTCAACATCAATAGAGATTGCTAAAATTTCATCGCCTGACTTTCTTCAGTTATATTCCATGGAAACCTCACATGCAGAAGATCATTCTACTAAAGAGAAAGAGCTGCATGCAGAAAAAGTTGAACCTATTGAAGATGAAGGAGCAAAATCACAAGAAAAAGATGAAGAAGAGGAAGCAGGAAACCAGAAAAAGACTGCGGTTGATGTAGCAATCCACGAGGTGAGTTCAACATTGATGTCAAACGGACCTATTTTTTTCTATCTGATAACCAGATGCACTTGCCTCTGCTTCTCATTATGATAATTAATTTGGAAATTCTCTGTAAAGCAGGAAAAGGGCCTAGATTCGAGCTCTATGAAGAATCTAGACGAAACAAATTTGGACGACAGGAAAGACAAAATAACTCGAGACATTTCAGACAATATCAATCGGGAGCAAGAAGAATTGTCTGTCACAACAATGTCAGAAGATGAGAAACCTGTAAACATGATCAGTTTGGCATCTAAAGCAATAGAAGAGAATAGTGAATCAAACAGTTTCCATGACAAGACAGACTCCAAGGATTTGCAAGTTCTGGAAGACTCCATCACGTGTTCAAATAAGGAAAACATAGTGCATGTAGATCCAAAAGAGAGCATAGACCAGGATCCAAGTGAAGAAAAGGCAGAATTAATGCAACAGGACCCAGTAACTGTTCTGGAGGAAATAGAAGAACAACAAACAGGAAATGCTTCTGAGACTGTCTCGGACGCAAAAAGAGTAAATAGTGAAGAAGGAGAAAAAGGAATTACAGACAATTGCGAAGAGTTAGTAGCCAGTTCCAGCTTTGTGGCAATAGATGAAACCTCAAATTCCAACCCCCTTCTGGAATCTAGAACAGAGATATTACAGGAGGGTGAAGAAAAAGAAACTGAAAATCAACAAAACAGCATTCACATTTTAGCACGTGCCATTGATTCAACCATGGAAATAACACAAGAGGATGCTCCGTTGTGCATTGCTAGCGCTGATGGTTCTGATGACCATCAAATAATGCAGAAGTTAGAGGTAGTCTCTCTACTGGCATTGGATAAAAACGTGGTCGATGAAGCAAACTATGAGGAAACCTCAAATGTGGAAGATCATTCGACTAAAGAAAATGAGCTAACAATCAACAAAGAAGAGTTGCGTGAAGAGAAAACAGAACCTATTGAAGACAAAGGAGCAAAAGCACACGAAGAGGAAGCAGGAAAATCGAAAAGGTCCGACTTTGGTTCTCAAGCTCTGACCTTGGTGGAGGAAAGAGACAAGGATGTCAGTGGTTCAGTGTCTGAAGCCCCAGATGAGGATCTCAAAGTTGAAGGAGAAGCAGATAAGTTCGCCGACAAGGCTGATACTACACCAAGTACTGTGATGAAGAAAGAGATGAGTGTGGAGGAAATCTGCGACAATGAAAAGTCTATTAATTCACGGGATGAAACCCCAGAAATCACCAATGCAACTTCTGATGACCTAGAAGGTCAAGAAGTTGAGAGTGCAAGGGTTGTAGAAACCTCTCCCTCAGTACCTCAATCTGAAACAGTTGAAGCCCAGAATGCATACATTGGAATTGTAGTTGTGGAACATTTAGAATCAAGTGAAGTTGAATTTGCAGATGAAGAAAACAAGGCTGGATCAGTATACAAGTCTAATGATCAGAACGTAGAAGAGCTCAAATCTTCGGAATTCCCAACTTTGACAAAGAATAATGCAGAAAACAGTGAGAAGAAAACGGACAAAGGTTATGAGAAAGGCTTTGAGACCAAATATGGGAGAGCAGATGCTGTGATTGAAGATAATATAACCTGTGATCAGGTAAAAAAAGAACTTCCAGAGAAACCGCTAGAATTGCTTTCCAAGGTACAGTTATTTGATAACAAATTTCAGAGCACAGAGAACAACAATCATGGAGCGAATGAGGAAGGCCTGGAACATGGAGACGAGGCATCGAAAGACGAGGACAGTTTGAGTAATAGTACGATAAAGGAGGAAGTTGATAATGTGGTTGATTCTAATTTAGAAATTCTTCAACCAGAAATGCTGGAAAAGGTTCTTGAATCTGAGACCCAAGTTCAAAGTTTTGAAGTAATCACAGAAGGGGGACAGACAAAAACAGAGGAAGAGAATCTTGAGGCAGCAAAAGAAGAAATTAGAAATGGGGAAATTGTGGCTGAAGAAATTTTTGAAGCAAAAGAAAGCGAGAAAATCGACATATCAAGTGAAAAGGTTTAGGAATATATTTGTCCATTCTTTCTGTCTGATAGATTATTATGTTTAAAATATACTAACTGAGGATAGGGCAAAACGCAGACCAAGGATGAAGCTGAAGCTGTAGAGGATTGTCAGCTTGGATCTTCAGAGAGAGAAACAATCCCAGAAAGGTACCAAGAGGGTGAGGAAAAGCCAGAAGAATATCTGAAAGTAAAGACAGAAGCCATAAAGAGTACAAATGAAAAGGTCAGAGAAAAAGTCAAAGTTATTATATTTCCTTCAACAATATTTCCTTTTAAATTGTTTATGTTTCATACATTATGCAGGTGTCTGGAAATTTTGAAAAGACTTTTGTCAATAAGAATGTCAGTGAACATATTGTGTTAGACGACAAGGCTGTTGAAGAGCCGAAGGAATCAATTGATGGAATCTTCCAAGTAAAAGAGGAGGAAAAGATTGCTGAGGGAATAACGACTATAGTAAACAATCAAGAAAAGGCTCACAAGTTAGATGATGTATATGTAGAGACTGGAAGGGAGATATTAAGTGAAGAGGTCAGTCGAATACACTTTTGTCCATCTTATATCCTCTGATTGCACAATTTTCAGCAGACAGGAAATTCTAAAAGATAAAAAATCCTATTTTTCTCTTTCACTATTATTTTGTCTTCTTTGGACGGTTACAACATTAAACTGATTGATTAGCAATAATCACTACTAAAGCAGAGGTCTGTTGTGCAGGAACAAGTAGTGCTTTCAGCAAGAGAAGGAGAGGTTACAGTGGGTGAAGCTGATAGTTGTAGCAGACAAACTGAAGATGGAAATGAGAAGCCTGATTTCTCATCTCACAGCAAGGATACATCAGAAATATCACATAGTGGTGGGGTCTTGGGTATTGCAAAAGAAAATGAAAACTCCGCAGGCATAAGAATGTTAGAGAAAATCTTTACTGGCATGACCAAAAGTGAGATTTCTGAATTGGCTTTTCCAAATGAAAGTGTAGAAGCCATAACATCCACAGTCAGTAAAGACATACAATCAATGGAACAGGACTCTGAAGCAATAACAGTCAATGCTGAAATGCACGAATCAAAAGCCGGAACTGCTTCCTGTGAAGTACAAGAAGCAACAGGAGTGCAGAGTAGAGAAGAGGAAAAGGCCAAGGATGATTACAAAGAAATGACAGGGACCTCCACATCCATGGAGTGCGCCATTTCAACATCAAAAATCAAGCATGGATCTGCAGTAGAAACCCCGGCGGTGGTTGAAGATCACAAAGCTGAAGATAAACTCGTCGAACTTCATCACTTAACTCATCTACACCACATCCAGGATTCTGAAGGAAAAACAGAGGAAGATGGCCCTGTGGATCTTCAAAGAGCCAGCAATATAACTGAGGATATTCAAGAGTTGGATGAAAGATCCATTGCACTATCAAATAAAGAGAATCTTGCAGAGACAGATCCAAATGGAATCAAAGAACACAATGTTTCAAGTCGAGGAGAAGGAGTTGAATTAATTCAACGGGACCTCGTGCAAGCAACTCTCCAGCAGGAAATAGAAAACCAGCAACCAGGAAATTCTTCAGAGGCTGTCTCAGAAGCTAAAGATGCAATTTGTGAGGAAGAAAAGGTAACCATCACTAATTTCAACGAATTTATAGAAAATAACAGCTGTGTGACATCAGATAAGGTCTCACCATCCAACACGCTTCAGGGTTCTGCAAGTGAGGCAGCACAAGGCACTAAAGATAAAAATACTCCAACTAAATGCCACGAGCTTCCCGTTTCATCGGATGTCAAATATCCAGACATGGAAAAAACACATATGGATGTTGAATCGTGGGTTGAAAGAGTTGATGGTATTGATGTCACAAATGTAATGCAAAACCTAGATGCAACCTCTGTACCTGCATCAGATAAGCAAACAGTTATAGATGCATATCACACCAAGAATGCAGAATTCTTCAATTCAACAGTTGACAACAAATACATGCCACGGCTGCAACAGGACGCTGCTGAAATTTTTTTGGCTGAAGGTGAAATACCTAAACCTTCTGAACTTGAGCAAGAGGGAGCAAAATATGTGCAAGAGGAAAGAACAGCAGATGAAACAATTGAATCAACTAAGAAGTCCGTGTCAACAGAGATAGCTAATACTTCAATATCAGACCTTCAGGGCTCCCTCAAAGAACCCTCGGAAATGGCTGATCATCACCCCGAAGGAAGAGAGACAACAGAACAGAAAGAAGAGCTGAAGGCGGAAAAAACAGAAGAGGCTGAACATGAGGAAAAAAGTGATGAAGAAAAAGACAATCACGAGGAATCAAGCGAACAGAAAGGATCTGACTTGGGCTCTGAAGCTCCTGTCTTGGTGGATGCAGGGGATGTAGTTACTAAAGTTTCTCATAAGAAATCACACAACATTCTGTCAGGTGTAGGATCGAAAGTGAAGCATTCAATTGCCAAGGTGAAGAGGGCCATCATTGGAAAGTCCTCTCATCCAAAGCCACCATCGCCTAAAGAAAGTGAGAAATGTTAAATAACCTTAGTACTAGATTGTGGAAAAGGGTTTGTTAAAGTCTGTGCTTGATTGTAGAAAAGGGTTTGTTAGAGGCCATCATTTGACGTATTCTGAATTTCTAAAGTCTGTGCTTGATTGTGGAAAAGGGTTTGTTAGTTTGTTTGATTTTTCTTGTACACGGTACTTAGTACTAGATTTGCATATGGTGTGCAGTGATCCAATATGTAATCCTTATGTTGAGTGTGTTGTAAACAAATGTCTATATTCTTGTGGATCAATAGATCATGTACTATCCACAAACGGATATAAAACAGGAAGAACATTACTAATGAATTGTAAATTAATATCAGATAAATAGAAATGATCAAACTTATAAGCTAGAAATATTTACACCGGCAAACAATAAAGGTATTTAGACAGTGATAGAAATATCAATGAATTGATTAATCTTATCATGGACAGGAACATTTAAACTGTAAATCTCTCATGTAGTGAATACAGATAGTGTATACATAGGTCTGTGCAGAGAATAACATGAATGTAAGCACTGTGGCGCCATCATCTTAGGATAAATTTCTCTTCCACTTCTGCTTTGAACTTGAAACTGTAAATAAGTTCTTGGTGACTCAGGACCGGAAATATGAACAATAATAAAAGATTCTTGTTCATAACAAACCATCGGGTGTTGCTCGAATTTCGCTCAAATGGATATGAGAATTATTGGAATCCACCAATTAAATGCAAAAACTGAATTATTAATTATTAAAAACGAATATAATATTTTACAACCTTAACACTTATTTACAGGCTCAAAACCTAATCAAATTGGGATCCTAATTATTTAGATAAATCCAAATAAAACTAAAAAACTGTAAAAGACCAAAATATCCTTAAATTGAACTCGACCCTTACGTGCGTGTATAATAATTAACACTTATTTTCAGTGGCTTGCATTTCTATCATATTTGGATCAAAATGGTGCAAATTAATTACATTTTATATGTTTTGGGAGCTATTCAATTAATCTAGAAGTAAATAAATTATTCAAATTCATGTACGCTTATTTATTTTCAAGATTATTCATTTAATCTAGGAAAAATTGCAGCAGTGGTCCCAAACCTTTTCATTTTTTGCACTTTACCCTAACATTTGTTTTGTGCTAGCGAATATCTCAAACCTTTCAAAAATATGCACCGGAGGTCCAAATGTTTCCATCCATTTGACCATTAATTGGCCAAACAAATTGATTTTGACCAATTTTAATAAGGGTAAAATAGTAAGTCTGCATATAAGTTAAAAAAATAAATTTAAAAACCCAAAAATAAAAATAAATATATAAACCCAACCCCGTCTCTTTCTTCCCCAACTTCACTCTATCCACCCCCAACATCCAACCAAACTATAAGCCATCCCGTCGTCACGCTGCCCACAATTGTAAAACCACAAGCCTTGCCGTCTACCTTAATACAAAATAAACAAAATCCAACCAAAATCGATTGAACCCCCAACATCGATTGAAAGAATGAACTGTCATTTCCAGGTCAAATCGAGAAGACCCGTATGTTCATTGGACGCGCCATGAAGAGTAGGTGCTTGTGGTGGTTGTCCACGATCATGGGTCCCACCACCGGCGTCGGAAAAGCCATTTGAAAGTCGCGAAGTTGCTGGGTTCGAAGATGTAGCTTGCTAGTTTTGATTCTGTGCATTTAAAGATGATTGATGACCATGGATATGAGCGCCTTGATGTGTATAATTACTTGGAATATTGGGCATGACATGGGTGTTGCCAAAATTGGAGATTTCGGTTGTTTTTGGGGATTCGAACAGGTTGTTTTAGCTCAATTTTCCGACGAGTTCTGGTGGATCTGAGGCAGAGCATTAGGTGGAAGTTGTAAATGGTGATGAGGGCTTTCTAGTGGTATATATGTCCAGTGGTTTGGGTGGTGGCTGGCCGGAGTTGAAGGGAAAAATGGGGTGGGGGTGGATGGGGCATATTTTCTTTTTGTTTTTAGTTTAATTGTCAATAATATTTGGAAAAATATAAAATGCAAACTTACTATTTTACCCTTAATAAAATTGGTCAAAATCAAACTGTTTGGTCAATTAATGGTCAAATGGATGGAACATGACATCTGGTGCATATTTTTAAAAGATTTGGGACATCCGCTGGCACAAAACAAAGGTTAGGATAAAGTCAGTAAAAAAGGAAAATGTTTGGGACCGCTGCTGCAATTTTTCCTTTAATCTATGATATAGATTTATTCTCTAGGTTCGTGTACACTCCGTTTTGTTTAAAATCTTTTTTAAAATCATGTGTATATTTATAATATATTAAATATTACATCAAGTGAAAATAGTTTTTTTGACGAATTTAATCTTACTACATTGATACACAATTTATTTTTCATTTGTGCAGTTGTCCAGTCCCACCTCCTTCGACATCATCCTCCCTGTCTCCATCATGTCATTTGCACTTCCGTCCAGCGTAATCGTCGTTATGCTACCCAAAACCGTAGCACGCACGTAGAACACTTTTCAGATTTTTCATAGGACAATTTACTAGTTACAACTTACAATAATAATAAAACAGATTTGGGGGGCTCCGCATACAAATAAAATCCCATCGGACACAGTGCCGCCAACAGATAATTAAAAATGATAAAAAACTGAAACTAAAAATTTTAAAGTTCCCGCTTCTGTTAGTCCTCCATCCCCGCCAAATTAAACCCTTGGACAGAAATCACCACCTCAAAACCTCAATCTCTCTCTCTCTCTCTCTCTCTAAGAACTACAGAAGATGGAGTCTCTCAATCGGCAATCCTTCTTCAAAGATATCCAATCGAGAGAACTCAATGGATTCCGAGGTACTGTATCTTTTACTTTTATCAGTATACAGAAGAACATACATCTGCTGATTTATTACTTCTTTGTGTAATAGTTTCTTCGTTTTATTCAGTAAGAAAAAGACCGTATTATATGGGGAACGATTCCCAAGATTTGGCTCCAACCGGGTCTGTTGCAGTGGAACACGACGGCGATCTGTCACCTCCAATGGCCCTGTCTTTCTGCAAGGTCAGTTTCACTATTTACGACTAATTTACGAATACATGTTGAGCTTTGATTACTTCGATGCTTCGAACCGTGTTGGAATTGGATGAGTAATACCCATTTTCACAAGTTTTGCTGAAAGGCTCTATTTTTTCAGTCCTGTTCGGATGGTAAAATTGTGTCGAAGTGTTTCATTGCATCAAGTTTAAATTTAGCCTAAAAAAAAAATTGTTCCATAGTCATTTTTCTCGTGCCTTGCAGACAAATAAAAATGCCCACATTCTCGCTCTCACCGACGAAGGGGGTTATATTGGACTGTACAATACAAGGCAGAAGTTTCCGGATTCCTCACATTACGGAGAAAATGCAGGTTATTTAAATTTTCCACATACAATGATCATTAATACGCTGCTCAAGGTGCTAATCATGGTTGAAAACATATTTGCAGAAAAAGCCAAGGTGTCGGAGTGGGTTGCTCACGATAATGCCATATTCGATATTTGTTGGATCAAGGTGCCTATATTTCTCTGCTGCGTATTTTTTCAATTGTTTCAATTTGATTTTAAATAAATTGCACTCATGAACATGCTGATTGACATTTCAACGTTTTCCAAAAATTGAAGTATTCACTTGTGTGATGTAATTAATGGTAGCCTTCTGTATATTTTCCTGTATAAAGTTAATAAAAGTGTTACAGAGCGTTATCTATTATGCAGCGTACAGTGGATAGTGAAAAGGTTATGAGAACAAATTAATCATCCCCCATTTGTATGAAATCATGTACTTTGAATTAAAACTAGAAATATTTCATTACATCGATTTATTTCAATTATAGTGATATAAGTGGCTATACAGAAATTATATATTATAGTAATTTCCAAACAGAAATTTGGTTTACTGACGATTCTGAAAACCTATTCCATCGGGATTACTTCAATCTTGTAAATTCTAGGGTCTACACAAATATTCCTCAAGTATCCAAGACATCCTTTCCTTTATTATTCTCAATAAATGTCACTTCCACTTGTTGGCTTATAGTCTCGTTTTTAAGGAATGCCTTAAACATTTGTAGGTTTCAAATATCTTTCCCCACTTCTAAATTTTCTACTGATAATCAAAACTTGGTGAAAATAAATATAGTTAATATGAAACTAGAATGTCTGTTACTTTCGTTTATCTGAAATCATCACAGGTTCATTCCACATACATTGTAGGACATTCTAATAGATTTTGAACTGATGAATTTAACTGCAAATTGCTGGTGTTCTGAATTATTTTATTCTGTATAGATTGCTTACAACACAATAACTAACTGATTCCATTTTCTTCAGGAGGACACAAATTTATTAACAGCCTCAGGAGATCAAAGTGTGAGTGACCTTGCTTCAAGAAAATTACATTTTAATTTTCCCACTGCCTAGATCATATTCACAGTTGACTTAATAGGAGTTTTAAAAGATATCTTGTATTATATGGCAATTCCAATTTTAAGTTTTCTTTTAAATCCTAAAAAATGTGATATTCCTTAAAGAAAGAAATGAAGTACTAAGGATAAATTGAATTGCTTAATTCAGTTTGACAACAACTGATTGCTCTTTAATCGCTGGTTGAGCAGATTAAGGTATGGGATACGCAAGAAAAGAAATGCATCAGAGCATTAATGGGACATACTGGGAGCGTGAAGTCCATTAGTTCCCATCCCACCAATCAGGGTAGGATTATGATTCAAGATTCTCTTCTTATATCATCATCATCATTTTTGTGTGGTTGATATTTTTCGAAGAATTCTCCCTTTCTTGCCCCCTGTTATAGGAAAGAAAGATGAACCTTACTTTTATAAGTCAAATATTTTCTTGGTATAATCGATTGATGAAACATTTTTAACAGATCTTGTCGCGTCTGGTTCAAGAGATGGGTCGTTTGCTCTATGGGACACAAGGTGCTCCAATACCTACCAGAAGCTTTGTGTATCGTAAGTTTCTGCATTCACTTTAGCAGTTGAATACATTATAGCAATGGAATTGTGTTAAGTATTTATCCTATCTGTTTCTTGAAAGAGCCATAATGTTGATGCCTTTTGAATACAATTTGATATCAAGAACTGTTATTGAACAATTTTCTAACAAAGATTCTGCACCATTATCAAATGGATGAATATATCTCGAACACTTTAAATGTGACAATAAACTTGTTTTTCTCTCTTATCAGGCCAATTAGTACTGTCCACCAGGCTCATCTTTCTTGTGGTCGAAGAAGGTTTAGGCGTGGAAAGGTCTGTTACTGGATAATATTTTTTTATTCTATTGTTCAAAAATTTGTTCCCCTACTTACCTTCAGTTCTTTCAGGCTGAGTCCATGAGCATCACATCTGTTCTTTATCTTAAAGATGAAGTTTCCATTGCTACGGCTGGAGCAGTTGACAGGTTTTGATAACCTTTGTAATGCTTGAAAATATAGATGATAAGATCATTTGGTTTATTCCTATCTTGAGATATTGATGATCTATTGCCTCTTTAATTTCAGTGTTATTAAGTTCTGGGACACTAGGCATCTTAAAGGTCCAGTTACTCAAGCATGCCCTCAGTCTGAATCAAGTGCAAAGGTTAGTCTTTGCATAATAAGTGCCTTTCCCTGTGGTTGTCATTTTGAATATGGGTGATTACGGTTCAGTTTAGACGATTTTTGAACTATTTTCAAACTAAATCATTTTAAACGGTTTGAGAAATTTCTAAACCAAACCGAACAATTTCAAATCAAATCATACCAAGCCATTTTTTGTGGTTCATTTAGTTTCAAACCAGGGTTTTAATGATATAAAAATAATATATTTCGAACAAGTGAAAAAATAACAGCTAAATTGAAACATTTTAAACATAAACATTACAATACTAATATATTTGTCTCAATACAAGTTTAAACCAATAAATTAATACAAGGTTCAACCATAAAATTTAAACTTAACAGATAGTATTCTGTTTACAACAAATAATTTTTAACTTAAATTGGGTAAACTACTCGGTTTGGTTTTTTAAATATTGAAACCTAAACTGGATAATTTCCAAATCAATAGTTTCAAAACTACGATTTTGGTTTGATTTGGCGGGTTGGCCTGTTTTTTGTTCACCAATAATTTTGAACACTTTCATCGTCGTGGAATCCACATAACAGAATAGTGAGTTCCATGGATTCAGCAATGCATTCCTTACGACTTGTGGCATCTATAGGGCCATTAAAGGTATATAATCTAGAGTTTTGATACATGAAGCACCTCAAATGGAAAATTCACATATATTTCCTTTTATTTGTCCTGCTTTAAAATTTAAAATTTAGTTGCACTTTCAAAAGAACGAGGAAAAATGTTAATTTGTTCTTGTTCAGGATAAGAGATTACATGGCATATCTAGCTTGTCTCAAGATTTGAATGGAGTATTTATCACAGCCTCGTGCATGGATCACAGGTGAATTTACTTAGCCAATATATTTGAAACTTGCAGATGTGCTTCTTTGCGAAAGCACATAATGAATGTTTTCATACTGTCAGGATCATCAGAAATCCCAGCAAACAATGAAGTAAATGTGTAAATATTAATGTTTGTGTTTGATTATGATATTTCATTTTCAGAATATACATGTATAATGTACTTCAGCTTGAAATGGGGGCCATAAAAACTTTCTCCGGAGGCCGAATTGAATCATTTTTTGTTAAGGTATATGATTTATTTTATAGTAAATTTTAATACTGGAGTTGTGTACTGCTCCATTGCTGACATATTTCATAATTGGTGAATTTACAGTCAGTAATCAGTCCTGATGCATCTCATATACTCAGTGGTTCCAGTGATGGAAATGCCTACATATGGCAGGTTCATTTCTTTTCGAATACTTTTTTCCACTATTTGTCTATCTAAATTTAACTCCATTAACCATGTCAAAGCAGGTGCATAAACCTTACATGGATCCTATCACTTTGAAAAGCCACGACGGAGAAGTCACAGCTGTTGATTGGTAAGCCTTTCGTTGCATGCTTGGAAAGCACTAATCAAGCGGACTGGACAGAACGAAGCAGTTTTTAACATTTTTTCTTAATATTGTTTAGTGCTATACTGTCCTCTCTAGTAAACATGAATATGATGCTTTAGGCTTCTCCCCTACAAATCTAATCAAACTTCTCATAATTTATTTCCTACAGGTGTCCATCAGAGATGGGGAAAGTGGCAACCTGTTCAGATGATTTCACAGTAAGTCACATACACAACAAATTAAGCACATCCAAAGGATGCAGCATTACCCACAAATTCTCATTTTGGTGTTAAAAACACCGTTGTCACTGAACTTATAGTATCAGTTCACTCGATCGATTTTTTGTTTAAATTAAGTCAGTCAACTTTCGCATTTGTTTTAGTTTAGGCACTCCACTTGTCCCTGTTAATTCTTTAAACAGCAATAATGATGTGGCGATAAATTTGTTAACTCACTGATGATCACTCTGTTTGTCCTTGGCAATTTGACCTCTCAAACAAACCAGTTTCTAATGCCACATCATTGTTTCAATGAGCTGTATCATCAATTCCACTAGCCACATCATTTTCATGAATATCACTAATGGAGACATGGTGTGCCTAAACCCAAATAAAAGTGAAAGTCAGTTACTAAGTTGGAAAAAATGTTCGAGTTTCTTAACCCTTTTTTTTCTTGTCGGAACAATGTGATGATTTCCTTATCTTATTTTTCTTAAATCTTTCGTAGGTCCGTTTTTGGGATATCCAAAGCAGTTATTCAAACACAAGATCTCCATCCTCAATTCGGAAGAGAGTCATGGCAATGCCAAGAATGGAACGTAGAAAGCTGTTTGTAGATGAGACGTCATCTACAAAGAGTGACGCTGAAAGTCGAACAAATGTTGTATCCAATATTTACATGTCCGGTTCAAGTAGAATGCACGAAGTTGGTACCCCTGAATCCCAGGAGAAAAGAATTTCATTTAATTCTGAAGTAAAAGAAAATTTAGATAAAACTCCAGAAGCTAAAATGAAAAGCCCTTCATCCGTGCTAAACCCTCCTTCCTCATTGAAGAGAAAGACAATCCGAGACTACTTTCTGGTTTCCTGATTAAACTTCCTCATCATTCTGCTTAGTTATAGTTACTGTATAGTATACGTATGGAGGATTAATGGTATTGGACACAAAAATGAGTTGAAATTTTGTTTAGTTGTACTGTCAACTTATGCATGTTGAGTACTATTTGTGTACCAAATATGCATTTAGCGCCTTACGTTGGTATATATTTCATTGTTGTATCTACACTTGTCCCTTTCCATTTATGCTGGTGTTCGTGGAGGTGCAGATAAAATTCGATAAATTGAAATAGTTGCAGAATTTGGGATGAAATTGTATATGATCTGGTATCTGCTTGGAGAATCTACAATCATTTGTTGTGGTCACAAACTTTGATGCCCAATCTTTTGAAAATCTAGTGTCCAATAAAAATAGAAAATTTTAAAAATGCGTGTATGCTATTTTATGTGTAAAAAATTCCCACCAAGGACCAATAATTGTCTATCTAATCATTAGAACCATACTTCAATTGATTTGTGTTATTCCTCCAAATTATTCCCAACTTTTGGATCGCAATCTAATAAGAATGCATATAGCAATCCTTGTAGGCATGCTAAGAATCACTTGCTTTTCATCAAAATATGGATTTTCAAGTCAATTGTGGGAAGAAACCTCGACTTATTTAACACATAATAATCTTTGATAGAGATATGGAATCAACAATTGTTGCATCAATTTTGACTTTTAAGGGTGGTGGTTAAAACTGCTATTGAATATTTATTTGATGGTTTATAATTTTATTCATTTATAACAAAGCTATTTGCTTCCACTTGTGGCCATTTCAATTGTCTAAACATCTTAATATTAAGGAATCTCATATTTTCTAGAAGTGCGTTGAGATCACGAGGGTCAGAAACTCAACGTAAAACCTTTCTCTGCGACACGACTCTTTTGTGAAGTGTTCTATAACACATTCTACTCGTGTCTTGCAAGTAAAGAGATTTTGAGATACTATGCCACCAATGTACGATACCTAAGGAAAACGATCTCAAAATTTTGATTATTACTTTATTTTTTCTTTACGGTAATGATCTAAAGCTATAATCTTGAAAACAATATTTAAATGGAACACATATGGTCCTATCTAACAGTTTAAGTTTAGAGATTACAATGTTAAACAAGTTGAAACCCTTGATCTTGATTGCAGTCCTAGCAATAAAAAAGACCAACTACTCTTTATATCTAATATGATTCAACATGATATCAAGGTAGCAAAGATTCTAAATTTAAGTCTTGTTGCTACCCATTTAAGTTAATTGTGTACACGTTAGCTCTATCAAAAAAAATAATTTCATCAAAACATAAAGGTTTGTGTTGAAAATAATATATAAATGATGTAAATATAGTCCTTTCTAATCATTTAAATTTTTAAATTAAATAATTGAACATAAAATGGGTCATAAAATAATAAATTTTGTTGATATGTTTTAACAAACAAATGGTCATATGATTGAATGGTATGCAATTATTATCTGTCACCCACCCATGATTACATATGATAAGATAACAATATAGATTCATGTACCCATAGAGAAATGTATAGAAAATCTCTACAAGGCTACAATCATGAGAACTGAGAACTGACTCTTCATTTCCATATTCATGTATACCTAACTTTCCCTTTAATACATTAAAGAAAATCACGCCATATGGTACAAAGTTATGTGGTATCAAATATTCTAGTCTCGAGTGCCACATGGTGGCATAGACCTAATTAATTAACACGGATCATATATACACCAAAATTAATGTACATGTAAGAAAGGTAACTTTATAGAAAAATAATTAGAAAACAAGATAGGTTAACGCATTCTCTTTGGTCTAACTATACCGACAAGGGTGGAATTTGAAGCAAATTAAAGTGAAATTAAACTCGTGTATGGTGTACTAATATTCAATTTAAAGTGAGTCGATCTCGTACATAAATATAAAATTCAACGGAGAATCATATTCTATATAAATCATATGTATAACTTGGAGGGAGATCTTTCATATTTTTCAAGAATCGCCCTACAATATGGAGTAAAAGGCCAAAATCAGTTATTAATTTTAGCCCTTATGAAAAGAAAATAGATTCTTGAACCCATCTCTCATTCATGTAAAATAATAAAAAAAATCTAGTTCGATTTATCGTAATCGATCAATATTTTAAAAATAACAACGGATGAATTTCACACTTAGGATGTCGATATCATTTTTTTCATTCACGAGCAAAATCTTTATCCTCAAATTCCACGTTTCTCCACAAATATAATATGTTACAAGGAAGCAAGAGGAAAACATAAAGAGAAGTACAGTGAGAAGGATGGATACTTCCACTGGATTTTCTAATTATTTTTCCTTTCATGAACACATAGAGACATCGAGTTAAAGACAAATATATCAAATTAAATGATTTTAGTAGATAATGTCCAATAATAGAAGCAACAATTATTGATACAAATTATTTTAAATCCAATTCAATGTTTGATGTTATATTCTTAAAAACTTTGAAGGCAATTTAATAATACGATTTTCTATATGGCGTAAATATGATTCAGCATGGTTCGGGATCATTCGTGCTCAGCTCGACTGTTAATCGTCGTTCCTGAATTATTCAAATTGAAAAAATATATATATATAGAATCTAAGCTAATATGGCAACAAGAATAGTATCAATTTAAGTTGATAATAGAATGAGCATGATTTTGGAAGCAACTACCATTAATTCCACCTCTTGATTTTTTAAAGCACCTGATTATGACTACAATAAATTATAGAAATGAAAACAGTATAATTTTAATAAAGAAAGAATTAATTTCTACTTTCTTGTGATTATTTTTTTATAAAAAGAAGAGGGGTCACAGTCAGCATTTATTTAATTAATTATTTTAGGTCTATTAATTATGGCAAAGGCTTTATCTTGACATTCCTTCTCCATTCACCAAATTCATTATAATTCCTCACCTTTATATTACAGTGCAATCTTTTTCTGCAGGCTACTGTCTCCTCTTTCTTGCTTGCTGCTAGGGTTTTTCCTTTCCTTCTCTAGCATTTAGCAACATTAATAAATCCTAAAATCTTTTGTTTCCTATAAACTGTCTGATACCAGCATCCTTAAAAGAATCAATGTGATTTGTGAAGAAGCTCAAAACTACATACACAAAGTTGTCTTTCTTTTGAAAAAGGAAAACCCTTGTTCCCTCTCTGGTTCTCCCTCAAGAAAAGAAAAAAATTGCTGTCAAAAGATAGATCCATAAAAGCAGGTATATAATTTGTTGGGTTCTTTGTATTAGTTCCTTAAGATCCATCCTTTTCCAATTCTGACTTGAATATTTTTTGCAGGACAGATTGATGAACTAAGATATAATGATCTTGACTTTTGGTTTTGGTTAATGTTGGATATGATGTACACACTGGAATGCACCAGTAATATCGAGTCGTCAACCTCTTAAGTAGTCTAAGTTCTTATACGTTGATTTTTGTTTTTTGTACTCAAGTACGGGACTTTGCCCTTAATAAGTAAGACAATTGAGGAATTAATCAAAAAATAATATCAAGTTTCTATTTAATTATTGAACAAATAGGAAAAAAAATAAAATAATGTAATCTAGTGTTATTAGAAGAAATCTTAAGTAATTTATTTTATCATCTTGTATGATTCTCTATTTTGCAGAACTCCTATGAATTTATCAAAGGGCAAGAGAAGGAAATACAGAAATAAATTAATCAAATTGAAATTTGATCTATTAGGCTTGTAAATTTTTTGTATTTACTGGCCAATCCTTTTGATTTTGAACCAAGATGATTTCCCTGTGACTTGCATACCTTGTTTGATCCTATTAGTTCTCATGTGTACTCTTGGGTTATAGCTAGCTCACTACATAACTGTAATAGGTGTCTTTACCCCAATCACACGCTGTGTTTATATTTATAGACATCGTATTCTCTTTTTCAAATAATGAAACTTTGTCTCTTTCCCATGATGTTTTGAATACAATTTTACATGGCAATTCAGTCATGTCCACTTTATCGATACCAACAGATACGACGAAAATTGGCTAATGAACAATATATGATTACATTTTATTTAGATATCTAGAAAGATAATTACTTCCATCAAGAACCAGATTTTGGCCAAGTGAAAATTATTTTCCTCATAATTAATTTGCAGATGAATTGTGCCTTTTTATGTGATTTAAATAATTGATTAATGATCTCCTTATATAATTCAATTTGCAGTAAAATGGCTTCTTCCAGCTATTCAAACCCTCCTTGTGCTGCCTGCAAATTCTTGAGGAGAAAATGCTTGCCAAGTTGCACTTTTGCTCCATATTTCCCCCCCGAGGAGCCGACAAAGTTTGCCAATGTACACAAAATATTTGGGGCTAGCAATGTTAGCAAATTGCTGAATGAAATCCCCCCTCATCAAAGAGAAGATGCAGTAAACTCTCTGGCATATGAAGCTGAGGCGCGATTGAAAGATCCTGTTTATGGCTGTGTTGGAGCAATATCTGTTCTTCAAAGGCAAGTCCTTCATCTTCAAAAGGAATTAGATGCTACAAATGCTGATTTGATGCAATATGCGAACAATGATGCAACATATTCATATGGAGTTATGTCCAATTCAACGTTGTATAATGGAGGAGAGTCGAATCTCGGATCGAATCTTCCGTATGCTTCTCCATGGAACAATAGCTCTTCAAATGATTCCAAGAGCATGTAATTAAGGCATATAAAGACCTAGTATCAAATCTTGGGGGTTGGTGAAGAACCATAATTTGATAGTGAGTTTGTGCATGCACCATATTAGGAAAAAGGTGCAATTTCTATGCTTCTAGTTTTATTAATTTTGTTAAAGAAAAACTACGTATGACTTGTTATGAGTAGGAATGGAGTGTTAATTCGTTGGTAATGTAAAATTATTGATCCTTGTTCAGGACATGTGTACGTCGTGCTAGTAATATTTCTATAAGAAATTATATTTTAATAATCTTATCTGACAAATGCAATATCTATTGAGTGAATGTTGAATAAGAATCAAATCATTTGCTTAGATTTTAACTAATTCAAAAACCCTAAATGGAGATAAACATAGGTCTAAACGACAAATTTAAAACTATGTCTAAAGAACTCGGCAAAATAGTTTCAATTTTAAAATCACACTACAAGATTACTCACAAAAATACTTAAAACAACCAAATCTCGTACGACTTTATCATCTTCGTATGGATCAAATTAATTATTCGAGGGAAAGCATCTACCCTAATTAAAGCATTCCTAGTTGAGAATAATAAGGCAATTAGTTGACATTAAACCCATATGCTGCTAACCGTGCTCGTATTGCTTTATTTTTGGAACGGCTCGCAAGTGAAGATGGAGTCCCTAAGGCCCCTACAATCCATTTCACTTTGTATTCTTGCCTTTACTTTCTCTTAGCTTGTGGGTCCATTAAGAAGAATCTTTACAAGCCTACCAAGGTTTGGAGCCACATATTCAAATTATTATGCTATTTAGTTACTCTTTTTCCACTTGTTCAGTTATTATGTGTGTCTTGCACACGAAGTCAACATATAGGTACTAGGCAGGGATCAATTTCAAGCACATTGCAGCCTTTGGTCTGTATTTCTCCAGTCAAAAAGGAGAGACATTGTCTCTGAAAATCTTTGACTTCTAAAATTTTTCATTTCCATTAAATTACTCTATTGCTTATGAGCCTTTGGGATATGAAGATTTCTCTCCCATACTCCCATGTGAATCAACAAGCCGATATAATTTATTTATACATTATTTAGATTTTTTTAAAATAGATTTTGTGGATGTTGTGTTAACTATATCCATAATCTCTAATACCAATTGTTAGGAATTCAAAGATCACGAAAAAGGAAAGAATAACATGAAAATCCCGCAACAAACACAGATGTGGGGCAGAATCTCAAACAGGGGAGGCAGCGCCCCATGCCCAACGCTGCGGCGCCGAGCGTTCTACCAAAATTTCCTTTTTTTTTTCTTTTCGTTCCAAGTTATTTTCTTCATTCCGAACTCTTCTTCAAGTCTAATACAAATTTCCAACTCCCAATGTGTTTTCAAAGTAGAACTTCAATTTGACATATGACTTCAATAGTATTCCAAATTGAATTTTTTTTTTATGTGCACTTCAATTAGAATTCTTCAATTACTTCAATAAGAATTTCGGGTCACACCCAAATTCTAACAGTGGAAAATGAATTTTTTTGATATGTGTGGCTAAAAAATAGAGAAATTTATTTGTCCATGTATAAAATTATTTTATTAGAAGAATGTATGATTAAAAATAAATTTGAAAAAAAAAAAGAATTTTAAATAATTTGTACCTAACAATGGCTTAACATTGTATCATAGCTTGTTTGGTAAAATTTTCTATTGTCATATTGTGTAGTTGAACTGCTTGCTTGTGGTGGCCAAGTCAATTCTTATAAAGTTTATTATGTAGTGGGTTATGAAAATTGTTCCAAAAAGGAAAAGAAAAAGAGCAAAATTGAACAGGTTTTAAAGGGAAAAAGTGATGTGATTCAAATTGCACGCTTTGAGTTGGTGACTTTTGGGCTACAATTTTACAATCAGATGTCTCTCTCAATATGGGCCCTCTAACCGTCCAGCATTCCCTTTCATTAGGCTCAGGCGGCCCAAGATAGGATAACCCACCTGGGTCCAAGTCTAAAGTGCAATTAGACTGAATAATATATAAGGTTAATATTTGCATACACAATCTTTCACTTCTTCTGAAACTTCGTTCCTAGCCTTTTATTTGGATAGCTTGGTCCCCGACCTTTGATAAATTGACGGGATTCATTAATTCGTTAGTCAATTTAGACCAGAATATTAAAAAATTCAAAAGGTTAAAGTTAATTTTTTCGATATTCTTTGTTAAACTATTAAAAAAATGAAAATTTTAGAAAAAAAAAATGAAATTAAAAATAAAAAACAAAAGAATTATTAAAATTTAGGAACCTAGTTGTTGAAAAAAAGGCTGGGGATGAAATTGCTAAAGAAACGAAAGGTTGAGGACATTTGCTACGATTACCCCTATTAAAATTAATATTGATTGATATGATGGATGGATGGATGGAAAAACCAACTTTTGGGCCAAAGTAACCGGGATTTGTCAATGAAAAAATAGGTTTATCCCCATCGCTAATAATTTCCTTGGACAAATGGCAGGGGATCCAAAAATAACTCGTGTTGGGCTAAAGTCTCAACCAAAGATTTGTATTTTGTACTATGGGTTCTTCTTTCCTTTCCTTTCCTTTGCATTTTCCCTTTCTTTTTTTTTTGTCAAAAATGATTGGGACCTAAAAAAATGTGAACTTTTACAATTTGTGAAAATTGCAAAATATGATAAATTATTGTGTTCAAAAATTGTAATAGACAATGTTATACCAATATTTGTACAATGGACAAGTGCAATGGGACTCCGGGATTTTAATCGATATTTCATTATTTAGGCATTCGGCCCAACACAACCCTAAACCATAATGATCATGCCAAACAACATAGTATCAGCTGAGTATAAATCGTCAATAGTTATGACTTGATTGTGGACCACAAAAACATAAGTGATGTTGACATCTTAGTGGCCAATTGTTGCATCATTTTTCTTATTTGAACTTCTAATTTGATCGTTGAAATCAGAACGGTTGCCCTCTTTAGGTGGTCGATCTCACTAACCGAGTTTTGTTTTTACAAGGACATTTATTTCTATTAATCGAAAGATTCGATAAGATTTTAAAGTTATCATACAGCATGTTATCCATTTCTCCGACCATTAGTATATGAGACATGCTACAGGTACATGAATTCAAATTCTTGTACCTGCTAGAACACATAGAGCAGGGGTGGGTGGGTAGGGTTTTTTGCCAATATTTTAATTCACATCCACCCTATGAAAGTGAAATTCAAAAATCTGTATTAATTTTGTTAATTTTTTCCTGTACTCATAGCAATTTTCTTAGTATATCTATATCCTAAACTCATATTCTAGTTGTCTTTATTGTTCATGATTTAAAAGTGTACTTTTATTTTAAATTGAATATTCGTATAACCGTCCAAAAAGTGCAAGTTGGGCCCGTCAATAAATCAAATTCAATTGGCCCACTAATTACATGTCCAGGTGAGCCCAATCTTATTATTGATGCGAATGGACTGATTTGACACGTTCACGACTTCAAGACTCTCTTTTTGCGTTCCAAATGAAAATCAATAGCTTTTATTTTTTCATCTCTCATTTTGAAGAGGTTGGCCAATGTTTCTTCAACCCTAATATTTGAGATTCTAGGGGTCCCGGGTCCGTTTGATTCAAAGATGGAGTTTGGGTGGAAAGAAAATGAATTAAAGATAATTAAATTGCCTAGAACTTGTTTTACTGGGCTGAGAATTGTCAATTAATTGTATTTGATTGGTATAATATTTCACTTGAAAAATGTAAAAATTTTCTATCTTTTGGTGTTCGTTTAGCTTTGTTTTTCATGAAAATTGTCAATTAAAAGGATACGATTTTTTATAATTGGGGATATAATTTGTTTGAATTGCAAAAAAAAAAAAGGGGAATTTTTTTTGTTTTTGTTTGTCTTTGTTTTATATGAAAATTGTCAATTAAAGGAATAATTTTTTTTTTTTAATAATTGTGGATATAATTTGTTTATATTGCTGAACGTGGAAATTGAAATTCAACTAAAATAGGTGGTAAGGTGGAAAATCAATTCTTGAGAAAAAAAGTGTCATCAAATATGGCAAAAGTGAGAAATGGAATTTCAATTCCATTTTTCATGGAAAAAAATGGTCTATCAAACATGCCATAAGTTCACGTTCCCTAACCAAATGCTTACTTTAGCTCGTCTAATACACGCAAGTGAAGCCATTCAGAGCTTGTTTGGAAAGGATTAAAATTGGATTAAAATTGAAAAATTAGTCGTTATTGTTGACTTTTATTAGACGGGTGAGACCCAATAACGGTTATATTTTCAATTTTAATTGGATTAAAATCATTCCCAAACAATCCCTCAATCCCGTGCGATGATAATCAATTCAATCTCGACATTAAATAGAACAAATTGAATATTATTTGAAGTATTGCTATGTAATATGTAGTACCCGTCTATCTGACAATGTAATAACAATAGTGCCACGTTTGATTTAAATGAAAATCAAAATTTACTATAAAAGTTGATCAAATACGTGGTTGAAAATTGTGGATCTTACGAAATGTATGATTAAAATTTGTTAACTCTAAAGTAAATTTTAGTCAAAATTTTAAGCTGAACCAAACGAGGGGCTAATGATTAATGGCATGTGTTCACAACTCTCAATCAACCACAACTTGTGCAACTTGGATTTCATGCAACAGCTTAAACTCTCTCATCTCACGTGCACTCCAACACGTTGCAACTTGCCCTTTTCTTTTTTTTAAAGCGTCATCTTATTCTCCTCCAGCATCATCCACCACAATCAGAACCGTTCTTGAGATTTTAGTGGCGTTAAGCCAACTTGAAATATGAGGCCATGTAGATATTTAAAATATATATACAATAACAAAAATAATATTTTTTTATTAAATAAAAATTTTCAAGCAATCCACAATCCAAATTTTATGACTTAAGATAATAATACGTCGAATTTGTTCCTTCAAAACCAGATCAAAAAACTCATCCATAACTCGTAATTTAGATTGAATTAACTCTTCATTTTTATCTTTTTATGTCTAAACAAATACTTTCTAGTAGACGTATTAAAGTAATTAACAATTCAGAATCAATACAAGATCAAACTTTAAATTAGTTGAGCAACAATGGAACCTAGTTAAAGATTTTCACTTAGATACACAACTATTTTCTTTTAACTATAAAATAATAATGAGAATCTATTAGTAAAAAAGTGTAAACTAACTAAATAACAAAGAATTAAATAAGAAAAATATCATGAACTATCAAGAAAAATTAACATGTATATACACACACAGAGAGACACACACATATGCGGCCGTGAGGGTGTGCAGGTGGTGCAACCTTACATGACCTCAGCATTGTAGGGGTATCGAATTTATATATATTATAATTTTAAAATTTAAATTTTTTATTATTATGTTAGTTAAAGGGAACAATATTTATGAAAATAAAAGGTAGTAGTAAAAAAATAATGACTTATTTTACATTATTTTCTTACTCGTGTGTCATACCAAGACATTTTATTAAAGCAATGTAAATGATTCACATGGGTTAGGCTCATTTGTAGCTAATTTCAATCAATTATGCTATAAGCAATTTTTAAAAAGTGCGTTTAGGCGTTGTCAAGGAGCTGCTTAGACACGATGCATGACGGAAACGCCGAGTCAAGTGGCTTGTGTCTTACTTAGCGGTCAACGATTGATCGCTAATGCGCGCCTGAGAGCGCATTATTACCATTTTTATTTTATTTTAATTTTATTTTACAATTTTTTTTTAAGTTAAAACTTTAAGATTAATTTACATTTAAAACTTATCTTTTTGTTGGAGAATTTTGAAAAAAAATGTGTAAAGTTTCTATAAATTTGTTTTAGATGTTTGATAGGTATTATTTTTAATTATTAATTGATTTCTTGATTGATTGAAAATTAAAATAAGAAACGTCTTTTAACGATTTTTTTTATGCATATGTCTCGCCTAAACTCGCATAGCCCCTCCACGCATCGTTACACATTACGCCTTTTAAAACATTTGATATAAGCACATGGTTTTTTCACATATTTTGTACAAAAAGACAGATGTCTGTGCAAAATTTGTGGAAAAAATCATGTACTTGAAGGATAATTCAATTTCAATATGTTGTTTTTAACTATTTTTCTTTATGAATTATTTTTTTATTAATTGTAGACAATTTACTTGGTACGATATGCAATTGTCTAATAATTAAGCTCATTGGATGATGCTAATTTGAAAATATATTGTGAACATTTTGACATTGTTTTAAAACATGTAATTTTTTGTGATCTTGATGGTGAAAATTTGTTTCAAAAGTTAAAAAATTTGCGAAGTTTTTTTATCAAGAGAAACAAAGACAGTTTTGATATATTGACTTATTTGAAATGATTGGATTGTTTTTCCAATACATTTATTGTTTATAAAATACTATTGACAATTCTCGTTATTGTTGCATCTGTCGAAAGAAGTTTTTCAAAATTGAAATTATTAAAATCTTATATGCGAACAACCATGTTACAAGAACGATTAAATATACTAACTTTGATATTTATTGAACAAGATTTGCTAGAACATATTAATTATGACAGTTTAATTAATGAGTTTGCTTCTAAAAATGCCAAAAGAAATATTTTTATTTGATTTATTGCATTTCAAAGTTTACATGTGGTATTTGCCATATTTGATTTCAAGGTTTGCTCATATGGAATTTCATGATGAGTTCAGTGGTTTGGATGATTTTTTGTTCATGACATATGATTTTTGATGAAGTGCATGATACTTGCATTTTTTCTTATTCATGACATGTAAAAAATTATTTAAATGTCGCATTTCTGTAATGAAATTATTTACTGGAAATTTTTTTTGTTAATATATTTTTTTAATTACACACAAACATATTAAGCAAAAATATCACACATGTCAATATTAATGTCAAAGACCGTAAACATAAGTTAGAGAATTTATAAAGGATTGAACTTCGAGACGAGGAATTAAGGATGACTAAACAAGCACAGATAATGAAATAAATGCTGAAAGGTCAAATAATAATAATAATAAAGCAGAGAGAAAATGAAGAGCCAACATGAGAAAAAAAATAATAAAATAATAAATAATAAATATATTAAAAATCTTTATACTTTGAAGAATGTAACAGTTTTTTGAGAAATTTTTCTTTATTTTTTATAAATATAATATATGTAATTTTTTTAAATTTTTTTATGGGGTCCTCATCAAGATGGGCCTTAGGCAATCGCCTAGTCAGGGTCACGACCACAAATACCGTCCCCGCCACCGCACTCCACCGGGTCCGTCAACAACTCCAAGAAGCTCAACCACATTACCGCTACCAAGGTGGCTTGAAGACTCCCCAAAAGGCAACAAGCCAAGTGCTAGCAGTCATCACCCTCCACCACATTGGCGGAACCCTTGGCCTCGCCGGACTAACACTAGTTGGCAGCCTGACTGCCCTTGCCATTGCAATTCCACTATATCATTTTCAACCAAGTTCTGGTGCTGGCCGCCATTCTTGTCAGAGGCACTGTCACCGGTTTTCTTACCTTGGGAGCTTTCAGCCTGACCAGACTTCCATCCCTCTCTTGGCATATTAGTTCCGTCAGGCAATCTGGCCATACCATGAATTCAGTAGTTCCCTTTGTTTATTGTTGTTTCGAGTGAGTCATATATGGACTAATGAGCTAAAGTCAGTGGACTAATACACGGCCTGAATTTAGGGGTCGACCAAAGAGTAACAAACGAAACCGACCAAAACAGAACCAAAACATAAATTTCAAATGGTTATAATTCTAGAAACACGAAACACGAACCAAGTACCAATCAATTTTGATTTCGTTTTTAATTCTAGGAACTAGAATCATTTGTTAATTTGGTTGTAGTGATGTGAACACGAGTACAAGCGATAAAATTTTATTTTAATAATTTGAAAATCTTGATTTTGAAATTGACACAAACCCCAATCATTCGGTTCGGTTCATAGCTCCAAATGGAATCAATGGTTCCATTGTAAGACAATCATTGATTCTCATTCTCTTCGAAACTAGCTCCATTGTTCAGTTTGATTCTATTCTCTTCAAAATTTAAATCGAACTGAACTACACCCACAGCTACATATAGTGACCCATGAACCACAGCAAATATAAATCTCATGTATCAATTGCATGTAACAAATGATCCACATACGCAAACTTGTATACTTGCATCATAATCTTCGTCTCTAGATTTTGTTTATAAACTACACTATCCTGGCGATGCAGGCATACACCACTACAGCTGGACATGTAGGATAGGAAATTATTAAAAGAGCTTCTACAGGCATACAAGTCTAAACCATTTTATGGGGTGACAACATGGAAGTGGCAATTAAGAATATACACTCTTGAAGCATAGTAAGGATTTAAAACAGAAGGAACCAACAATGGATATAAACAACGGTTTCAAGCAACAAAAAAATGGGAAGATGAAAACACAGTTACAAGAAAATCTCAAATATTAGCAATTGTCTCCTTCCAGCAAAGTTATTCACAAACTAGTAGTGCAGAAGAAACCTGTTACCGACCAAGCCAACCTCGTGGACCCTGGCCATCTCCATCATTCATCAACTTGTCCAACACTACATTCAAGTCGACTGATTGTCCACTCTCTGTCAACTTTCGGACAGTTTCCCTCGCTTGTTCTCTTGGAAATCCCATACTCGTCACTTTGTCAACCACGTCGTCAACAGGAACCCTGTTTCCACCACCAGTAGAACCGGACCCACTACCAACTCCAGAGGCTGTAGGCAGCGCCTGAGGTAATAGTCGAGCAGTAGGCAGTTGTGGATAACCACTTGCACCACTCTGGCCTAACATAGAAGAAGAATGATGCTGCGATTTCACAGGGGAGCCACCACCATACTGTGAAGGTGAGCCACTATAATAAGGTTCTGCTGGACCAGATGACGGATCATAAGAACCAGAATACACTGAATTTGGTCTGCTAGATGGAGGCTCGTACATGTTGGGTGGTCCGTAAAACTGTTGTGAGGGAGTAGCTCCACTGGAGGGATGAGAGGGAGGTGGCCCAGGTGGGCGAATGGTTTGTGGGTAAGTAGGTTGCTGTATATAAGGTGTTTCTTCAGGATGACGACCCAAAGCAATCTGAGGTTGAGAGGGATTGATTGGGGGAATTGTTGAGTGTGGTTGAGGAGGAGATTGCTGAGAGTACTGTTGCTGAGGAGGTGGGGCTTGTTGAGAATAGTGTTGCTGAGGAGGTGACTGATATTGTTGCTGTAGTGGTGGTGATTGAGGGGTGATCTGCTGTGGCTGCACTGTAGGTGTTTGGTACTGCTGGCGTGGATTTTCTGGAGTTTGGCCAGGTGGGGGGAAGTAAGACTCTCTCTGAGGGACAGAAGGAACTTGGTTTTGAGAATACTGGTTGGGAAGCTGAACTTGAGGTGGTAGATTCTGCTGAGGAGGTAGTGGAGGAGGAGCAATTGGTAAAGAGAAGGTTGGAGGTGGCTGTGTAAGAGGAACTGCAGAAAACAGCTGGTGAGATTGATGCTGATGAGCAGATGCTCCTGGCTGGATAGAATCAGTGTGTGCAGTGTTGGGGTTTTCAACTTGCTGTTCAAGCTTGGAAACTTGCAGCTTAGCAATCTGCAGTTGAGCTTCAACTATTTCTTGTTTATCCTTTATAAACTGAACACCAGTTTGCACCTGCAGGCAATTTTTTATATCCAGGGGAAGGAATGATTTAAATAACAGTTTAAACATGTTATAAGCATAGAATTTAACCTTGAGCACACAAAATTATAATCAAGAACTTCTGGTCTTCCTTCTGCATAGAAATAAATGCCTAACTGAATCTTAGATAGTTTAATCACAATGGAGACATCTTAGATAGTTTAATCACAATTCAGTCTCATGCATAAATAGCAAGGCCCACACTAATTTATTGTATTTACAGCATCGACGGAAGGCTATAGGATCATCCCTGAGATCTTGATGCCGTCAATCCTACATCAACTCAATAAGTCAAAATCAAACTACTCAACCACAGATAGTGTACCTCACAAACTCATTTCTTAAGTTACAAAACAATTTTCTATTTTCTCCCGAGAAAATGTTGAATAATTTCTTACGGGAAAGACCTGTTAAGTAGAGATAGATGGAAAAGACTAGTATTAATATAATTAGTAAAAAAAATTAAGAATTCTTAGGGTCTGTTTGGCTATCCTTATTTGTCTTTCAGTTCAAGTCTCAACGGTATTAAGACGAGAATGATAAGTGGGTCTGTATTTAGTGTTAAAAAATATGATAACACCTAACAAAATGCATGTAGATTATTTTATGTTTTTTATGTTATCGAAACAATAACAAAACATTGAAGGAAGTTCTTAAAATTGACTTTTATAAAAACATTTTCTTACTTCAGACTGGTTTCAAGAGTGTATTCTTTTCTGAAAGAACCCATATGTACAGGTTTTTTCTAAACCAGGTTCAGCTTATTCACACTGTTCTCACACCTACTAAAAACAGGTTGTTGCATTCCCCAAACCCTACCTAAAAGAGATGGTTCTAGTGAGGATTATAAAACTAGGGGAAGGGCATATTCAAATAGCAAAGCCTTTTCAAATATGTCCCTCTGTATATTTACGTAGTTTTAAACGAGAAGGTCATTAAGAATTTAAATGCAAGTACATTCTATCTGAGTTTTGCATTACATATTCTGTTGACCTTTAATCATTCATGAATGTAAAATGTGGTCAAAGAGGTTTTTTTTTTTCCTCAGGCATTAGTAACTAACATATAATCATAACAAGAAAAGGGAGGTGGAACAGGAGTGTTGAAAATATGGAAAGATGTAAAGAAAAATCTCCATGATATTTTTCCAATTGCGTGAGATTATTTTCCTTAATAGTTGATTGTATGATTATCTCACAATCTTTCCTTTTAGAGATAAATCTTCCCTTTCAGAGTTATTTATAGCTTATAAATAGGGTCTTCCAATTGTAATAGAAACACAAGTTTATCATATACAACTTATAATATTCTAACAATGGGATTTTAACCCACACAAGAAAATGCACCAAGGTTGTAACCCTAAGATTAAAGTTTCATTCAAAACTCAAAAAGAAATGCCGAACTCCTTGGTTCCCAAGATAAACAGAGAAAAAGATTGCAAACTGCAGATTAAGGTGACGATACAAAGCATTCATCTTCTAACTCTTTTTCAATCTTAAATAAACAGTTCAAGAAAAGATTAGAAGGTACCTCTCTAAGTATATTCTCCAGCTGTCTTAATTTTCCATCCGTGCTTCCATGATTATTTCCAACACACACCTTCAGATCATCCACAGAATTCTCAAAGTTGCGGGTCCTTGTCTCCAACTGTGATAGTCGTGCACTGACACCATCCATTGCATGCATCAGATTATCAGCATACTTCTTCATTGCTCCATCAATCTCAGAAACCAGGGACGCATCGATGACATTGTGATCCTTCTCTAAAATGTCTTTGTCAGGTTCAATGGGGCCAAGAGAACTATAATTCTGAACAAACAGAAATGTCGCAATAAGAACGTCATCAAAATATAGTACATAAAACAACTCAGCTGGCAATTGACTATTTAACTTCCCAATCCCATCACAAGACTAGATTCACTTCACTAAAGCTCCATCAGACATAAGATAAAATGAAATTCTGGGCAGATAGAATACACTGGAACACCGAAGTATTATATTCCCTAAACATCATGCCAGCTAAGGATCTAATAAGCATTAGTAACAGAAGATTCCCTTTGAGAAACTCTCCCGAAATGCATTAATGAAATATCAATAATCCTGTGAAAAAAGAAATAAAAAACTCTTGAGCAACTATTTGTTCATATATAATATAATCTCAAGAAACTCAAAACAAGCAATATTAATTCCAGTTCAGACAATTCTAAACCCAATGTCAATTGTCACAGGGAACATAAATTCTACATGAAACTACGAAACGTAAATGGCCCATTCATTTTACTACTAAGTCCAAGATGGCCATTACAAGTTATTAACAAGCAACTTGTTCATTTTTATTACATTCACTAATAAGAACAAAACAGTATATAGATAAATAATTACCGTATGCACGTATATATACACATAAAGAAAGGGAGAGTTTAGAGACAATACTCTGACGGAAGAGGTATTAGTTTTAGTATCCAAAGAATTCCATGTCCTGATCGGCGCATCATCATTTCCAGAATCAAAATTCAAAGACCGCGGCGGTGGGGACTGCGTTGATCCACCGGCGGGTCGTATCGGCAGGAAATCGTAATTCGGAACAATATCATCTTTTCTCCGATTATGATCCTCCAATGGGCGGTTTATGAAATCGATGAAATCTTCGTTACTGTTGTTATTGTTGGTCTGAGAATTGGATAGATCCATGATCTGCTTGTCCATAAACTGCGACGTCGTATTATTATTCATCTGAGTACTCTCTCAACTATAATTGCAGAGGCCAGACTGAAATTGGGGCTTGAAATTCTCGGTTTTGGATAGTTCTGATAAAAGGGTTTTTGCTTAATTATGAGAAATTGCCAGAGAAAATGACGTGAAGAAGTAGTAGAAGTAGAAGACAAGTACGCGAAGTCTTCGTTACTTCTCGCGTTTTTCTAGAAAAATCTGTGGACGAGTCAAAACTGGAGAGAATCGTATGAATGGGAGTTAGTGTTAATGCCTTGTTAGTTTTTCGGCCTATCAACATATTGGGCCACATTCTTGACCCAATTTGGAAATCGGATCCATAATTCATACACTACGATTGATGGGGTAACTTTAAGAATGGCTTAGTCAAAATGCCATAATTTCATTTTGACTTTTTAACAAGTGAATAACTTCAAAATGGCCTAATGGTATTTAAAAGACAAAAATACCCTTAAGTGAATAATATAATTACAAAATATGATATTGTTAAAAAGACAACACTGC